TCTGGAAGTCACCATGATTTTAAGTTATTTTTCTTCTTACCTCACTGACATAACCAGGAAAACAAGTTCACTACTATAAACAGTACAATAACACTGTTAAAGGCTGACTGGACCCGTGAACCCAATTTAGTTTAAATTTAGATCACTCCTTTCATTTTTTTCCCCCCTCAAGGTCCCAAGTACTTAAACACCACTTTAAACAGATTATAGGCTTGCTCTCTGTTTAACTGTACAGGATTTCTCATACTTGAAGAAAATGACCCACCATCATCTAGAAAATGAGTTAGTTCTGTCAATCTATGATTTACTAACAACTTAATCAAGTTCTTTGCATTTAAAGTTTTGAATTTAGAAGATATACTACAGATGACTTCATTTATAAAGACCAGACATATCTTTTTTTAATCCTCACCAAGGAAATGCTTATTGATTTCAGAGACAGAGGAATGGAGGAAGAGAGAGAGAAACATTGTTGTGAGAGAGAGACATCAATCGATTGCCTCTTGCATCCCCCACCCCCCAACCGGGGACCAAATCTGCAACCTAGGCACGTGCCCTAACTGGGAATCAAACTGAGACCTTTTGGCTTACTAGATGATGATCCAACCAAATGAGCCACACTGGCCAGGGCAAGGCCATTTTAATGTTGTTGATTTAGCAACTGAAGATAATGGATTTATATATGTTCTTCAACAATTTCTTCATATAGAGAATCATTATTGATCATTATTTGGATTACTTGAAGGCTTCTTTTTAGTTAACAAATAAATGATTTTCTCCATTCTTAATCAAATAGGTATTGACAATTAATTTCCTTAAGGACTAGAAAGTTCAGGTCAGAATAAACTAATATGAATAAAAATATTGAGTATTCAGTTTCTATATCTCATAGTTTTTCTCTGATGTCACTCCTTTTATTTCTTTACTCAATATAGTGGCTCTTAATCTATGGTCCCTGCATCACAAGCATTGGCAAGATCTGGGAATTGGTCAGAAATGCAAATTCTCTGGCCCCATCCCATATCTACAGTATCAGGAACGCTGGGTTTGGGGCCAGAGAATTGGTATTAACAATTCTTCCAGGGGAGTCCAACACACACTAAGGTTTGAAAATCACTGCTCTAATATACAATGTAAATGAATTTTAGACTTAAATAAAATTCACCTTTTTGCATCTTAAGAAAACAAAAAGTTCTCAGCTAATCCACATAAATGATGTGAGTCTATACCAAATCAAAACATACATTCTCACTATTCTGAAGTTTATATTTTCAATTTCCTGTAGTTGTACTATATTCCTGTAATGTCAATAGAAATGAAATGGAAACTGACTTCTGGAAAAGAATTATGACAAGTCTAGAAAAAGAGCTCTACCCATAAAAATTTTGCATCAGAAAAATAGAATCTTACAAATTATTGTAATAGGCATAGTAAAAGTAAACCAAAGGACCATGATAGATCACAAAGTATAGAAAAAAGGCCAGATAATCTTTTTATATTTAGCAAATCCACTATCCAAAAGGAGAAATAAAAGAGCTTCATTCAGTTAATCCATAAAAACAGTCATCTATGTCCAATTTAAATTTGAGTCTACCCCCATTTTCCCATAAACAACCAAAGCATATACTTATACAATGGCTTCTTTATAGCTAAAAAACTAAGATTCCTTTCCTCTTTCTTTGGCTTTAAAAAAATTACATCAGTGCAAAAATGAATAGACTTGTATTTTTCTTCCTCAGGATTTTTTTCATACAATGTACCCTTTCAGTATTACATTTTTCGGAGGTAAAGACAATCTGAAGCACAAAAACCATAAAACCAAAAAAACACTAGAACATGTCTTAAGTTATAAAACAGTTTGAAGTTCCAGGTCTGTCATTTAATTTTCTATGATCTTGGAGAAGAATTTAAACTGTAAACTGTAAATGGGAATAATACCTACCCCATGATAACTGGAAAGTATGTGAATGTATACAGAAGGTCTTTGTAAGTTACAGAAGGCATTTTTAAGGAGATAACCAAATCGAAAACTTATCTGACCTCACATTATTGACAGCAGAGTCGAAACGAAACAAATAAATCAGGCCTTATAATCCAGCCTGTGGTGACCTAACAGACCTGGAAGGCACCACTGAAAACATTAGCTGAAGACTCGCTAAAACTAAACCGTGAACACATGGAGTTATCAGTAACAACCCTGTGTCCACTGCACCTCCTCTAGCGCACCCTTTATTTCAAGGGGATATTTTGTTTATGCCACTAACGTGTAAAGAAAGGCAGAAAAATAATACCATAAAAGCCCACAAAACGCGAACTTGAGGGATATAAATACTACTACATTAGTATGGAGAGCTCACTGAGTGCCATGCACTGCTCTCGAAGCTGCGGAGACAGGCCTAAGCAAAGATCACGTACCCCACCTCAAGCACCTTGGGGTGGGGGTTAGGAAAACAAAATCCTCAAGTTAACAGTATGCTGGAAATACTGCTCAGAGCCACATCCCCAAAAGCAGCATAAGGGTAGAGTGCCAGGTGACAGGGAGGGGGAGTCGAGCAGGGGAAGGCCTCACTGATAAGGTGACTCATGAGGTGACCTGAAGAAAGTAAGGGGAGCCATCTGAGAAGAGTGGGAGAATAACCCAGGGCTCAGAGGCAGAGCTGAGGAGGCAGTGAGTGAGAGAGAGGGTGGTAAGAGGGTAAGAGAGAGGGAGGGGTTGGGGGTGGGGGGAGGGTTAAGACCTCAGGACCAGATCTTATTCTGAGATGAGATGCCCTTGGAGGGTTTGTGTCAAATGAGTGACATATAACTGAGTTTTTTCCAAAACTTTTAAGTTATGGAAACTTTTGTCCAAGGAATATGTAAAACAGATAAAACAGGAGCTCCTCTGGGTAAGGCAAAGGTGCCAAGAGACTTGACTTCTGCTGTTCCCACTCTCCCTCTCCCTCATCTGAAGTTTACAAATGAGTACAGTCTGCAGCATCCAAACATTCACATCCTGTATCCACAGAATGTCACGATCCAGCCCCATCTTAGCTTCTCAAAAAGCTTTTCCTGGGGAACAGCAAAAAAGAGCAAATGAAGTTGCTGGCGCACATCAGAGGAACAAAGGTGCCGCCACACAGTCAGTCGGTCCGTCGCACCTCTTTAGGAACCCAGTACCTAGGGCAAGGTGCGAAGTCCCTCTCCTTGCCCCCACACAGCTGTCCAGGTACACACTGCACGTGTAGTTTGTGTTCCCTGTCAGGGCTTCCTGTGATATTCAATTCATCTTGATTTCACTTGATTAAACATGTTCTAGCAATACAGTGTGATCTGCCTCTGCTGGCGTGATCTCTGGATGTGGTCAATTTATATTCGAAGAAAATTCCTCCTCTACTAGTGTTATTTCATCTCTCAGCAATGACCTCCCCCAGCTCGCTCTATTCTAATCCTACGCATCCTCCAAAGTCTACTTTGTAAAGCCATCCTCCCATTTGAGCCTCAGCTGGAATTCCAAATCTTCAGAGTGTGGAGAAGTGCTCTAGTTCACTGCTCATTCAATGGACCGACCCTCTGTAGATTTGGCTGGTAGTCTTCCAGCCTTTGTGACTGCTTTAAGTGACAAGCACCCGCCAGCCCACAAAGCAGTCAATGCTCTTTCAGACATACTGTAGGAGGGACCCCCCTAAAAAAAACAGTATTTATTAAAAATTGTGTATTTATTCTTACATGTTTAAACTGCAGTCACCTTCAAAGTACTTCCCAACTGATGCAATCAATATACCTATCGAGACAATAGTTTTTTAACTCATCGATTTTGATGCCTTTTAGAGCTTCTACCATTTTTTTGTTTCACCTCTTCCACATCAGCAAAATGTTTCCCTTTGAGGACTTTTTTTCATCCAGGGAAACAAATAAAAGTTGCTTGGGGTGAGAGCAGGTGAATAGGGAGGGTGGGGCACTGGGTTCATACTAGTTTTGGTCAAAAACTGCTGAACACTCAGCACGGTGTGGGCAGGTGTGGGCAGGTGTGCTTGTAAATCACTCATCATGAAATGGACAAATGTACTGAGTCTTCAAAATAAATTCACTGAAGCTGAACACAGCCTCTCACAACAATGTCAGCTGGTACACTGACACAGATGGGTTCCCAGAACACTCACTTAGCAGGGGAAGCCTGTATTACAAGGGACCCACCCTCTAGAAGAAAATTCCATTTTTTAGTGCGTGTGTGTGCGGGGGTCCCTTCCCTCTTAAAGTAACTATGAGAAAATTCTTCTTACTGATCCAGAACCTATTTCCTGGTATCTTCCACGGAGGGATCTGCCCCCTGGTTGAAAGGGTAGAGGAAGTCTGGTGCTCCAGCCCTCATGCACCCTGCAGAGCTTATAGCTGACCCTGTGTTTTCCCCCATTCTGGCTCTACCTCTAAAAATTCTACCAACTGCCCAACCATCTCACAGACTCTCTGTGGAAACCAAATTCAACCTGGAATGATCAGCTAGCAGTCGCAGGAAGATTTGATGTCTCCGTGTGTAGCCAGTGAGTCTCTGTGTCCCATGCCGCTGATTACAACCCATTCTTGATTCTCTTCTTTGAACTCGCTTAGGACTTCTACACTTAGCCTTGCATTTATTATTGTGCATTCTGTCAATGAATGTTTACTGGGCACTGTCAGGAATTATGCTAGATGCTGAAAAAATAAGAGTAAAGGAAATGTACTCAGCCTATAGAAGAGTAAGAGCAAGATTGGTAAAATAATGAACAGCTGAGGAAGTTGGAGAGGCTTCAATGGAGCAGGTGACATCTGCGCCAGAGATGAACTGAACACCACCCATGTCTCTTAGCCTTGTGTCCCCAGCACCAAATGGTACAATGCTTGCCCTCAGGTGAAGTTCAGAAAATATGTGAACTGGTAAAGTTGAGAAAGTACTTTGCCTCCTCAGCCTCTTTTGGAGGTGAGGGAGCGTGATCACTGAATCCACAGTCTGGCAAAGGCAGTTACAAAGGCTGACACCGTACCTGGCTACGTACAGTACTGCTTAAGTGGTTGTCCTCGGACATCTGTGCATTCTGGAAGTAGGACAAGGGTGCAGGTAACTCTGTCATTGGAGCAACTGTACAGAAACACCTTTTCACAGAAAACAAAGTCTCTTGGGGTCCTGAAAAGAAGGAAAAAAAAAACAATCCTTTATGCATTCCATTGTACTTTTATTTTTAAACACTTTCATAAATTGCATTCAGCAGAAACAAACCTTTCTTTCATGTGTTCTCCTCCAGGCCAAGCTTTCTAAGGACCTCGCCAGCTGTCACTTGCAGACTCCTTCCCGGATTAGGTCTGAAATAGGATTTTACAATGTCACTCAGAGTTGATCAAACCCTAGTAAATTCATGCACACCAATCAAATACTTGTAAGGCCAATCTGTAAAACACGAATTTATTACTTTGTCATGACCTTCAACTGACAAACTTTTATCAATTCAAGACACCTCTTCGGTAATGAGTAGACCTATTTGAGAAACCAAATATTTTCAATCACAAAGATACTTAACGATTTCAGATTCGGAGCAAAGGGAACTGAATAATCTTAAAGAATGTTCTCATCAACATCTCTTTTTCTATGCTGACCATCCAACTTAACTTTTAATATCTCCATTCAAATATCTGCTTAGTGCTTTTAATTCTGCAAGTCTTTTTATCATCTCATTTTATCCTTACCACAATTCCTGAAGGCAGGGTGAACGGGTAACATACATATTGTTAAAAAACAGAAGGAAACCCAAGTTCAGTGACGTGGCTAAGAATCACCCAACTGGTCAGACCAGGACAAAAATCGAAGGTTCCTGACTCCCAGCTGCAGGTCCCTCTTTGCATCCAAGCATAGCCCTTTTTACATATCATATATCACTCCGCCTGCCAGAGTTCGCCTTCCTGGGGGCCACATTCCCACTTGCCTGTCTACCTTAATCTCCGTCAGCCAACTCTTTATGACTTCAACTTTCCTTTTCATAGTCTTCAGAAATACAAAAGGGAAACAATTTTTTTGCACACCTAAGCAGTATTCTAATTCATACACAGTATCTAAAACACTACCATGTACTTATTTACATGAAAGCATTTTGTCAACATCCTGTTTCATTTTCCCTTTTCAGGATCTTCTACCCTCTAAATTCTCTACTTTTTTATTACAACTTTTCATAAAAAGCACATTAAAGTAACTTTTTCCTCTAGTATAGCTATCAAGTTCAAATTAACCCTTGGTGACCTGTATTTGGCTCACTCAAATCATAACAAAATTTTACAAAGGTATGCTCTCACTTACATCTTACATGCTTTCATCTACACCATGCCTACCTTTCTCCTCCCCTCCGATTTTGGACCACAGTTAGCTGGCATGGGGTCAGGGGATTGCAAATTAATATTAACTAAATAAGACATAATTAATTGTAAATTTTTTAAAAATAAAGTAAAACAGAAAGAGACAATAGTTACTTTTATGAGGGCTATTCACCAGAAAGGGGTACATGGGAAGCTTTGGAGTAGATTGGTAATGTTTTGATTCTTGATCTCAGTACCAGTTACACAAGGTTTCAGTCTGTGTGAATGCACTGAGCTGTATACACCCATGATCTGTGTGCACATTTCTAAATACTTCAATTAAAATTTTAAATGGATTTTTATGGGAGTAAGCCTATATTTAGGGCTACTCATACTGATGGCCCTGTCTTTTAAAGTGGGTAAAATTAAGACTTGGCAGCATGTATGCTAGTTTACCCCAAAGAGAGGTAGATTCCAATAGAACAGTTATATTTTCTAAGTATTCATAGTAAATGTTCTGATCTACGCTTCTAGATTTTTAAAAGTTGACTAATTAAAATTTTAACATTAAGGTAGCATGAATGATCAGCAAACAGCATACATCATTCTCTTCTTTCCACAAAACATTTAGCACCGCACCCGCCACCTCAGCTAACCCAGAAATGCCACAGAATGCATTCTGATGACCTCCACTGACTTCTCTGAAGACTATACCAGATCATTTAAAGTATGGCTCTATCACAGAAAAACCCTTAGAAACCTGTCATTAATATTCTGATATGATCCTTCGCAAACAAAACAAGTAAATAAGATGGTGTTAACCAAATGAAAGAAGCAAAGGACAAGAAAGAGCAATGCAGGCAAAAATAAATAAAGTGCATTACATTTACAGATAAAAATGAGAGGAAAAGTGATTATCCATTCATTACATGTAGTTCATTGGCTAGCTACTTACATCAAAACTCAGAGACAGTGACTGAGAAGATTTAATTAATTATGTTCACTCTACCCATTCCACAGATGAAAATAACATGGCACACAGAAGTATACTTACTTGCCCAAGGTCATATCCAGTGAGCAAGGCTCACGAGTTACACTAGGTTGCCTCTACATAAAACTCTTCCCCCACCCCTTTAGGAGTTTACAACCATGAGCATTAATACACAGTGAGTATTAACGATAAAACTAGCACTTAGAAGTAAATGAGATCTTTAAGAAAAAGTAGCAGTAAATGAGATCTTATGTTTCAGTAACTGGTGTAACTATAAATAAAAAACTGAAGTGCCAAAGTATTCCTAAAATACAGTCCTAGTATTTACTGAAAGAAAAACAGTAAGATAAACTATAATAAGAATATGGTCATTTTAATATTAAGTAGTTTCCATATTAGCCTTATGTTATAGGAGCTGTTCAGCTATCAGAACAAACCACACAAACTGATCATCACACTAGAGCTTTCTCAGACAAATCTTGCAAGCATAAACAATACAGGAGTCACTTTAGCATATCCCAATACTAGTTCAAAGGCACATCCACTGCATTTACATGTGAAAAACTAAGGCTCAGGAAAGGTAAAAGAATTTGCCAGTGTACAATTATGGAGCAAGTAACACCAGTTCCAGAACCAGGTCTTCTATGCCCAGTCCAGGTCTTTTCCAGTTCAGCCAGAGAAAGCTCAGGCTTCCACGGATGCTTTGAAAATCAAAATGCTACAGGGCAACCTTCCCTGGAAGAGCTCCTCTTTATATGGAGCCTAGTAGGAAGAGGAGCCAGGCAACAGGGTTAAACTGGGTCTTCGGTCAGGCCTGGTGAACAAACACACATTGTCTGGACGAAGAAAGGAGCAGGCCGTGCCAGATTTGACTCTGGTCCAGTAACAGCTGAAAACAACTGATGACTCCGTGGAGAAGGCCAATGACCCCACTGTTTAGGCAGCATGGCAAAAGACACTACTGGACTCTATAACATTCTTAGCAGTGCCCCGAGAACAAAAAAGGATAATTGTTGGGGAGTGAGAACCTTTCATGGGACCTGGATTGCTGAGGGAGTGGGAAGAAAGATAAGTAGATTTTGGTGTTTTCGCTCTCTGGCCACGAGCTAAAGATTTTCTGAGACTGACAAACAACACTTGGATTCACTGTCATCCATTATCCTTTCCCTCAAGACACTTGCTCAATCAGATAAAGGAAAAAGAAATCCTTTTCTGATGTGCAACTACAATTCCTATTATATACAAAGAAACTAAAAATGAGAGAATACAAATAATCCTGAAGCGCAGACATACTGAATAGGAAGAAAAGCCTAACCAGAGAACCTTCTGTCGGCACTTAAAAAAGTATCACAGGAGCAATGTTTAAAATCACAAAATAAACGTATTAAAAATACCATTTAAGGAAGCACCAACAGACACGTACATTTCTGCCCTGGCCAGGTGATCAGTTAGTTAAAGCACTGTCCCAATACCCCAAGGTTGTGGGCTCAAACACAGTCACGACACATACAAGAAGCAACCAATGAACACAAAAATAAGTGGAACAACAAATCAATGTTTCTCCCTCTCTCTCCCCCTCCCGCCCTTCCTCTCTCTCTAAAGGAAATCAATAAATACAAATTTTAAAAATAAGTACATTTCTGTCTTTTACTACATCCCAGGTAACAACTAAGCTTCACACTATTATAGCATGTTTACTTAATTATCAATACCATTTTTTCTTCACTCTCAGAGATACATATAAATATAATTTGCACTTCACAGAAACAAACATTTTCATGGAGACTTTTTATCATGATCTTCTGAAGAGCAAAGGGCTTGTGGCTTGTTTCAATGACTCTAGCCATTGGACTGGTTTCTCCTTCACTTAGAAAACCACCAAAAATATTTTTTAAAAGCATCTTTGTATTGTAATGCTAAGAAATGTTCAAGTGTCAAATGAGCTTATAATTTATTTTTATCCCACAAAAGTATTTAGTCAGCCTTAATGTTATTTTGACAGCTTCTTCCTGGACAGCCAGCACACGTTCTGATTATATGGATGGGCTGGGAGAGTCTCTGTTTGTTTTTAAAAGCTCACATCCAACAAGAAATGTAACCAATCTCCAAAATTCATAAGAATGATTTAAAATTAATTTAAAATTGTAGGAATATATCTTGGAAAGACTCCTCTGAATTTTAAGAAACCAGGAGCAAATAATTGCCCCAGCCCTACAAGAGACGTTGTGAAAGTGGCAGACTCTAAAAAGAGCAAGGATAGTAATACAGCCTATTTGTTGATTTTTCCCCGTCCTTCCATCCCACTCTACTTCTGTGAACCATCTGTGGTAGATTAGACTATTATTCGGGGAATATTCACTCCCTCCTTCCGCATCCCCAAGAGAGAAACATACTTCCCCTTTCCTGCGATGTTGGCTTGGCTCTGTGAGCTGCTTTGGCCTCAAGGTGAATGTAGTGTACTACCCACCTGTGCCTTTGGGCACAATCCTATGACTTGCTTGGGTCAATGAGATCTTAGCAGATTGTGGCAGTCCCTTCAGCCCTGGCCCCAAGATAAGACATGCAAAGCAAAGTGCCCTAGCTGATCCACAGACCCACACCTGGAGGCAGAGACTTGCCTGCTCCAAGGCACTGAGTTTCTGGGAAGTCTGTTATATAGTTATCCGGTTGTTTTTAAATAATAATGGTTGTGTGGACTCCGACAAGGATGAAAATTAACGAAGACTCACAAATCCAGAATCCTTTATGTGAAACCCTTAGGACTAAATGTGTGTAGAATTACCACCCCCCCCCAGGATTTTATAAAAGTAATATGATGCAAATACTGTATGTTTTATATGCCCCCTCTGGGTCTTAGAACACAAACACATTAATAAATATGTAGTGAAACATGTAAGTAGTCTTAATTTACATAGATTCAGGTTAGATTTTTGCTGTAAAATGAATCATGAAAAGCCTTTCAGTTTTTTCAGGAGCTTTTGGATTTCAGAATTATGGATATGGAACTATATGATCAATATTTATATAATTATAAAGAATCTCCCATCCCCCCAAAATTTAATTTCAATAACTCTGCAAGAAAAATATGAACTTCCGGCCAAAATGGAGGCATAGGTAGACACACTGTGCCTCCTCACACAACCAAGAGAGGGACAGCAACAATTTAGAAACAAGATAACAACCAGAACTGACAGAAGATTGAACTGTATGGAAGTCAGACAACCAAGGAGTTAAAACAGACACGTTCATCCAGACCAGTAGGAGGGGCGGAGTCGGGAAGCTGGGCGGAGAGGAGTCCAGCGGCACAAAGAGCGTTGGGACCGGGCGCCTAAGACCGCAGCGGGCAGACCCTTGGCGCGCAAGCAGCGGCTGGCAAACCCCGGCCTAAGGGTGGCAACTGGCAAACTCTGCAAGGCGGCGATTGTGAAGCAAGGCACTGTGTGCAAGGCGGCTGGCTGACCAGGCAGTCCCAGGGTACCAGAGCTGGGAAATAGAGCCTTGGGGCACTGATTGAAAACACCTGTGGAGGTTGAGGCACAGGGAGAGACTCCCAGCCTCATAGGAGAGGTTGTTGCAAAGACCCACGGGGCACACAAGCCCACAGGGTATCAGCAGCAGAAAGGCCCAGTTTGCTTGGGGGAAGCGGTGGAAGGTACTGAAATCTGCAGAGGGCGGAGAAAGCACCATTGTTCCCTCTCGGACCCCATCCCCACATATAGCATCACAACCCAGCCACTGAGTTGCCCTGCCTTGGTGAACACCTAAGGCTCCACCCCTCATACATAACAGGCACAAACAGACCAAAAAAAAAAAGAGAGAGAGAGAGATGGCTCAAACAGAAGAACAAATGAAAGCCCCAGAACCCATCCTTTTAAGCAACCAAGAGATAGCCAACCTATCAGATGCACAGTTCAAAACACTGGTGATCAGGAAGCTCACAGAATTGGTTGATTTTGGTCACAAATTAGATGGAAAAAATGAAGGCTACAATAAGTGAAATGAAGAAAAATGCACAGGGAACCAATAGTGATGGAAAGAAAACTGGGTCTCCCATCAATGGAGTGGACCAGAAGGAAGAAACAACCAAACAGAAAAGAATGAAGAAATAAGAATTCAAAAAAATGAGGAGAGGCTTAGGAACCTCCAGAACATCTTTAAATGTTTCAACATTGGAATTATAGGGGTACCCAAAGGAGAAGTGGAAGAGCAAGAAATTGAAAATGTATTTGAACAAATAATAAAGGAGAACTTCCCCAATTTGGCAAAGGAAATAGACTTCCAGGAAGCTCAGAGAGTCCCAAAGAAGTTGGACCCAAGGAGGAACACGCCAAGGCACATTGTAATTCCATTAGCCAAGATAAAAATGAAGGAGAGAATCCTAGAAGTAGCATGAGATAAGGAGACAGTAACCTATAAAGGAGTTCCCATCAGACTGTGAGCTGATTTCTCAAAAGAGATCTTGCAGGCAAGAAGGGACTGGAAGGAAGTATTCCAAGTCATGAAAGACAAGGACCTGCATCCAAGATTGCTCTATCCAGCAAAATTTTCATTTAGAATGGAAGGGCAGATAAAGTGCTTCTCAGATAAGGTCAAGTTAAAGGAGTTCATCATCACCAAGCCCTTATTATATGAAATGTTAAAGGAACTTATCTAAGAAAAGACTAAAAAAAAACATGTATAGTAAAAGGACAGCAAGCTCACAATTATGAACAACCACACCTAAAGCAAAACCAAAGGAAACTAAGCAAACAACTAGAACAGGAAGAGAACCACAGAAATGGAGATCACATGGAGGGTTAGCAACAGGGGAGTGGGAGGAGGAGAGAGGGGGAAAAGGTACGGAGAATAAGTAGCATAGATGGTAGGTAGAAAATAGACAGGAGGAGGGCAAGAATGGTATGGGAAATGTAGAAGCTAAAGAACTTATGACACATGGACATGAACTAGACGGGGGTAATATGGGCGGGGGAGGGTGTGCAGGGTGGAGGGGAAGTAATGGGACAGCTATAATAGCATAATCAATAAAATATAAAAAGAAAAAAAAGAAGAAAAATATGATTACCCTGAGTCATTGCCTCAAATTCACTGTGGAAATGGTGAGAATACATCTTATCTTTAATGAAAAAAAAATGACTACTCACATCTAATTCATTTGTCAATTGTTGGTTATATATCCAGCAATGCTTGCATTCTCTCTTAAGAAGCTGTACTAGGCACTGTGAAAACCAAACATTATACCCTTTTATCAGCATTTATTGGGTTTCTTCTACATACCCAGACACTGCAATAGGTACTGAGGACGCTACTGAATCAGCTAATGCTTTTACTTAAAGAGCTTACTATCTAGAGAGGAAGACAGACAAGTACCTTTTTATGTTAATTACATGTTGAAATAAAAATACTTGAGATGTACTGAATTATATAAATGTTATTTGAATTAATTTTACCTATTTCTTTCTACCTTTAAAAAATTTATTAGAAAATTTAAAATTAACATTTGTAGCTTACATTATGTTTTTATTGGATGGCAATGCTCTAAATTTTCAGTTCTTTCTGCTACACTAGGCCTAATATTAAAAATCCATGACAACCTTTTCCTTCCTGGACCTTCCCTCCTCCCTTCCTCAGCGGTTGTGACAATGCACTGTAGACGTTTTCCTCCTGACACTTCATTCTCCTTAAGTGGTTAACTTCTCATTCTTCTTCCACCTGCTCCATATGTGGTTGGCCTGGGTCCCCTGTGCCCTTCCTTCCTTTGCTTAAGTGTCTCCTCCACTGCTTCAGTATCAACTGGCCAGTCTTCTTAAGTGACTCTCATGTTTACAGCTCCGCCTGTCCAAAGGACATCTTTACCCGTTGGCACTTCGTAGTATTTCCAAAACACTTCCTCGTCTTCTTCTCTAGAATAGTTCTTTGCTCAAACTTCCTTATTTTTGCAAATGCCTCCCTCATTCTCCAAACTTAAAGTCTCCTGGTCAGCTTTACACTTTATTCCCTGCTTCTCAATTGGCTGCCATGCCCAATTCATGTTTTTCCTCTTCCTAAGCCTATGCCACCATCAAAGATCAAACACTCATTATATCTTATCTGATTATGCAAAGTCACCTCAAGTCTCTTGTCCATTCTAGCCCCAACTACCACATTAAAGTGCCCAAAGCAAAGCTCTGGCCACAACAGTGCCACACTTTCAAATCACCTTCCAAATCTGCCTGGCATCTAGCACAAGAGGGAGAAACAGTATTAGAGGTCTTTGAAAGGTTTTTCAGAATATATCTGAAGGAAGTCTTTCCCTAAATTTGATAAACAGAGAATGAGCAAAGGGAATCTGGATTTGGGAGAGGAAGAGAACCACATAAGCTATGGCAACAGACAAATGTTGTATCTTCCCTGCTAAAATTCTCAGAGACCAACTCCAATCCTCCCGTTCTCCACAAATGGAAATTCATGCAAAAGTCTAGGATTAGCAGCAGCCCTTAACTTAAAATCCGTTCAGAGGAAAGTATATCCAGCAATGTGGGAACTGTCTACCCAAGAACCAGGTGTAGAAGAATGAAAAAGCACATAATAGATGCTACTTCTACCATCTATTAATTGCAGGGAGACGGGAGGGAGGGGGAAGAATCCACTCACTCAACCGGCTCCCTTTTTCATTGTTAAAGAGTTGTTATTAAAAGTGGTGGGGTGGGGCTTAAGTTGGTTGAACGCTGCAAGTGAGTTAAGAACTGAAATGGCTTTTGCAGGTGACTGAAATTAGCCAAAGGCAACAGGCTCCAATCTACTTTTCTGTTCTATCTTCCTTCATAACAGTCATTTAATGCTCAGCCTGGATCCCCGGAAATGTAAGATCCAGAGGCCCCCAGTTTGTAGTACACTCTCTGGTTACACTCTCCTCCCCACTTCAACCCCAAGAGTGAAAACCTTCCCACTGCAAAAGGCAATTCAAATAACAAGATTCTCTTAAGCAGATGTTATCTCTACCTGCCTCAAACTTCAACGAATGTTGTGACCTTTACAGTGTGCTCTACCATGTACGTAGTTATTTGCACACTATTCTCGTACCCCATAGTAAACCTTGAATACTTTATTCATGTTGTTCAAAGCAGGCAAGTAATGCTTTAAAATTTATTATTGTTACTTTCCTATAAGAGAAAAAGAATCTGAGCGAGAAGAAAAAAGCAAGTATCTAAGGCACATGCAAAGCATCGGACATATACACGCCTGTGACAGCGCCGATCAAGGCAAAAGCATCAGACCCTGTTTTCCGCCACGAATGTGAGACAGAAGGAACTTAGCCCCGAGTGCCATTCACCTTCCCTGGACAAGGACACACTCAGCATGAAGCGTGGAGTTTCACCAGTTGCTCAACCAGGCTCGGCGGTACGCGCTTCCTCCTCCTCCTCCTGCTGCTACACTCAAGACGGTCAATCCCGGCCCAAAGCACCTGCGCCCTGAGACATCTTCGGGAAACCAGCACCTCCGGACCAAGACTCCGAAAGGTACTCTTTTCAATTTGACCGCACGCCGCGCCCGTAACCCGAGAAACAAGCAGCCCCTCTAATTCCCTAGAGGGGTTCCTGCGACCCCGCCCGGCCGCGCCCCGCTCTTCATCCTGAGGACACCGGCTCCGCGGCCCAGGCGGCCACAAAGGGCTGCCCAGGTCCGCGGCCGCCCGTGTGGACACTGGATGAGGGGGGCCTTCCTCTCTCCCCGGACTCCCCCATCACGCACCTACTCCTTCCTCGCCGCCGCCGCCGCCGCCGCCGCCGCCGCCGCCGCCCGCTCGCACCCGAGGTTCTTTCGTGAGCAGCGGCTGTTTTATTTCCGATGTGAAATCTCTGGCTCTGGAGCTCCCCGGCCCAGGCCCCGCCCAAAAGCCTTACCGGTGTCGTCACTTCCGGCCCTGGCGACGTTGGGGACCCGCCCGCAGGCAAAGGAGTGGAACGAGAGGGCAAGCCGGGGCCGAGGGAAGGGGTGGAGCTTCCGGTGGAGCGTGCGGATACCGGGGGAAGCCCTGCGCTCCAGCAGGGCTCGGACCTGGGAGTGCGCGCACTAGTCTGGAGGTTGTGGGGTGTGGGAAGACAGCTCTAGAGCTGGATCCAAGTTTCTAGTGAACTGGGCCCAGTGTGTGCTTCTCCCGGCCTACAAGCTATGGCATCTTAAACTTAACGTCTTTCACTTCTCTGGAGAACCTTCTGTATAATGTTTCGCAATGTGAATCAACCGCACCACAATCTAGAGAATGCTAATTAAAATGGTAAATATCGGGGCCCGTAATTGGATCAAAAATTCCGGTGGATGAAGAGAACATGAGAAACTGCATTTTAAATGCCTAAGATTCTTGGGCTCCAATTTAAGAACCATTCTTTCTAAATGGTAAATGCAAACCGCAAGAATTATTTTTGTAATCCTGGAGCTTAAGTATCTGGCACACGATTGCTCATCAGTTGGCCACCACTCTGTGCACGAGTCATCACCCAACTAATACGTGATGTGGCAGACAAGAGTGTCATTTAATTCAAACATGGCTTGAGAAGAATTTTTATTCGTTTTTGCTTATAGAAATTATCTTTCATTCCTGGACATTTTGGATTGCCATTCCTGATTTGGCCTTCATATAATAAAATGAAAGGTCATGGATGAAAATACAAGCATTCAAATGCAAGTAAGCAAGTATTTCAATAATTCTACAAATCCACATTTTAAAAAACCTATCAATTTATCAAAAATTTTAAGTTCACTTTGGCCTACAGTATGAATATAACAGATCCTGAGTTTGAATCACGTATGTGAATTTCCCAGTATTCTTAACACCTAGACTGTTTCTTTGCCTATTTGGGATTCCTTCCATAGCCTTCATATATCCAATAGCATTCACAAATCAATTTCACCATCTTTTGCTGAGCAAAAACTACTTCTTAATTTCATCCTGTTAGGAGGTAGCTAAAATATGACTGGAAAAATTTGAAACCATTTTGACAGAATCTTTCAGTTTTTTGGATAGTAGAAACATTCACAGAACTCATTAGAAAGAGCTGGGGCCCTGTCTAGAGCCCTGACTAGTGTGGGCTCAGGGGATTGAGTGCCAGCCTCTGAACCCTAAAGTTGACAGTTCGATTCCTAGTCAGTGCTCATCCCTGGGTTGGAGGCTGGGTGGGTCTCCAGCTGGGGGTGTGCAAGAGGCAACTGACTGATGTATCTCTTGCATATTGATGTTTCTCTCCCTCTCTTTTTCCCTCCCTTCCCCTCTAAAAATAATAAATACAATCTAAAAAGAAGAAAGGGTGGGTAAATAAGCCTCATATACAAATTAGTATACCTGCTTACATTTATTTACAAAAACTTTACTCCATATGAAAGGAGAAAAGATACACGTGTTTAGTCCAATTTGACTCTCAAGCTCAGTTTTCTCACTGTCCACCATTATCCAGTATTTATGCTTGATGAGTACCTGAAATAGCACTCTCCGCAAAGTAATCATCAGCCTCTACTATACATGAAGTTTATCAGAAAGCACTATGACAAGCTTCAGAGTAATAACAAAGTTCTTTAGGGAGGAAATGTTCTGGTACTGGCATGGAATAAAGCCTCTAATATTAGAGTTGTTCTCCGATATTTTGGGAAGAGATTAGTTTATATTCATGAACATATAGAATAGGTATGTTTATTTGCCTGAAAAATGGTTTTCTCTTTAAATTTACTTAAAAAGAAAATTAAGCTGCATTTACATAGTCTGTTAGGATAAAATACTCATAAAATGCTCATCGAAGCACAGTCCTTGATCAGTTAGCACTGGTATCATCAACCTCAAGCCCCACATTAGTCCAACTAAATTGGAGTCTGCATTTTAACAAGATTCCTCCAGGTAATTCAGATGCACCTTAAAGTTTGGGGGGGAAAAGACCTTCACATAACTTATCTTTCCTCCTATGAACAGATACACAGATTTTAAATTATTTTATTTACAAGGTCAAATGAGAAAAGAGCATATTGGTATTCTAACTGCTGAACTTTCATATAATTTTATAACTTGAATGGGCAATACAGATTAACCAAGATTTCCAAACTGAAATTAAACTATGGGCAAATGGTAAAGACAACCCAGAAATAGCTCAAGCAATTCAGTAGAAATGTTGTGTGTATTCTCCCAGACACAATACTCCAGTTTATCCATGTCCAATTCTTTATATATAAATCTGAAAAACAAGAAACTCTAAAAACCTTAAAATTTAAGCTTTGGTGGCAAAACCTGACGTGAACGGACATGAAGCTCCTTACACAATGGTCTTTAACCCAGTGACCATGATCATTCCCGCTCTGCTGCAGAAATGTTAATGTATGAACTTGAATTCTGAGGCAAATCTCTCTAGAAGTATTAAGTAGTATGTGTCCCCAAGAGTTTCAGATATGGGCCCTTTAAGATAAACACAGTGAAAGAGCAAGAGCAAGGGAAATTAAATCTACCTGAATAAACTGTCATGCCAATGTTGACTACATAAAAATAACCTAATAAGATGCCTTAGAATTAGTAATATGGTAAGAGAAGATAGGAATAATAAAGCTTGAGCAAGGTGTTTGGCTGAGGGTCATCCCGAAAAAAGGCTAGTAAATGAATCTGTTAAGTGGCAAGAAGCATATTTCTGAAATTTCCTTTAATAAACCAGAATTTAAAATACTGAAACACTACAAGGAGGTATCTCCATAGACATGTAGATCACTCCAAAATAAGGTAAATACCCTCTCTGACTTTCAGTTACTAATACTCAAGAGAAATCAACTCAGCCCATATTTTCAAGTTTCTAGTATGCCACACAATTACAATATGCCATTTATTTAATAAGACTCTGAAAGAATGAGTTCCCGCGATCAAATATATACATTTTTAATATTTGAAATATTTACATAATGGAACCGTATCATGGTTCAATGTTAAGAACAGTGTTTTCAAATGTCCTCTTAAGATGTAAAAAAAACTATTAACTCAAGTTCAGTTATGCCCCCTATTTCTATTCCCAATCTTTATTTTTCTTTTAAATAAATACTCAGACATGGGAATAGCTGCACCTACTTTGTGTTGAGAACTGTTTAAAACTTGTTACATTTTCAGGTAGTTCTGCCCCCTGGTGAAGTTCTCATCTACAATAAAGCAAGTCCCATGTGTGTCTCTGACACCATCAATGCATTTTTAAACTTCGATGAGCAGAGGCAAGCAAGGTATGTGCTTGCAAACACACACAAGCTATAAACCCTTTACAGAACAAAAACAGAAACAAAAAATTAGTGGTGACTGCCTTAAATGACTTACTTTATCCTTAAAAATAAGTTTTATAAAATGTCATGCTGAAATCTAATTGTATTTTGTCAATTTTCCTAGTTTGTAAAATTGCTTAACTTTCTTTACCTTTTGTTTTTAAAGTTGTTCATTTATATTTTGAATTTTTTTTAGACAAAGGGGTACACCCAAATTAAACTAAGGACCAATCAGTGCAAAATGCATTAAATGAAACTCTCCAGAATCGAAGTATCTGCCTCATTTCTGAACAATGAAATTAGGGGGTGAGGAGAAACTACTGATTCACACTCCCTTAAAAAAGAGCCTGAAGCAGGCAGCTATCAACAGGAAAACCCCATTCTGTTCAAAAGACTGTAGCTGGCCAGAAGAGAATACCATGCTCTGGGAGACTAATAACCTCACTCTCCCAGACATCTGGATTGGCGTGACACTGTGTTTCCTTTACCATTATGTTTTTCCATTAGGAAATGTTTAAGGGAGCCCTCCAAAGCAAATTAGGGGAAAGACTTTTATATGTACATTCACACAAACACATTCATACAAAGATACAGTAGGAATGGATGGTCTGTTAATTTTCGCACTGTAATTTTAAATTTCATGCCTTCATGAAAGCTTGCCAATTCAGATCAAGGGGAAAGGGTAATAGGTGTGACTGGTATTCTTCCAATTAAAATTGTTCATGTTGGTTCCTATACAGTACAATTCAATATTAAGTGCAATTCTGCAAAAGAATTGGGGAGTCATTTTAATATTTACAAGGAACAAATCAGCAGAACAAGATTATATCAGATAGGCTGTGTACAGCAGCTGTGGCTTATAAAACATACCAGTAATTTGTACCTGGTGAGTATAAAGAGAACCAAGGTAGGATTCAGATATCTTTACAACCAAGGGAATACACAGAGCATCAACAAATTGGGAAGAAAAAAAATTCACATTCTCTACATTAAAAAAAAAATTACAGGTCTCACAAATGTCTTTGAAGACAAAAAAAATAATAAATTTCAAAGTCCTTTGAAGGATGGGAAAGAAGATATCTGAAATGGAGCTCTAAATGTAAAAAGAGTTTTACTTCACAAGACCAATTTTCTTGGCTTCTGTTTCATATATCAATAACCTCCACATTTTGACTATAAAAACTTCTGCTTCTTCATCAAGTACCTAAAAGAGAAAAAGGAAAATCCGTAACTTGGGTTAGATAAGCAATCAGCATCTCATAACAATGGTGACTGGTATAGAAAGGGTTATCTGCTGACAAACATTTACTTCCAATAAAATGAAGGAAATCTGTCTAGTGTGAGAAATGTATTATGAAGTACATGTAAATTACAAAGAAATGCACTCAGCAAAATTCTATGACTTACTGAATGCTGACACTGCACCAACCGGGGATCACACCTGCTACCGAGGTACGTACCCTGAGCAGGGATCAAACCCACTACCTTTCAGTGCATGGGACAACACTCCAACCAACTGAGCAACCTGGCCAGGGCTTGATGCAACTTTTATTCTTTTATTTTTACAAATACTACATTTATATACATGTTTTGAGTAACTATTTCCTAAGGAAAGCAAATGTTTGTTATAAAGAACACAGTAATTTAGACAGAAGTATCAACTACATAGTAATAGAGAGTATTGCGCATTTGCCCCAAAACAATTTTACAAACTTAGTATTTATGGAGTCTTTATGTATACGACACTGAATTAAATATAAATGAGAATATATGAAAAGCATTTAATACAGTGTCTGGGATACAGTAAACAGAGTAAGTGACCAATGTTGTCACTGTAGAGAGGCACAAGACTACTGAATAAATATAAGGTCCTATCCCTTTGACAAATGAGTAAATCAAATTATCTTCCTATCTACATATGACTTAGGGGTATCATGTCCTTGCCATCACCCTTGCCCTTATCCCACACACATAGCCAGCCCTCTACACCAAGGCTATAGTGAGGTAATATGGAATATCATGCTTCCTTCTATAGGAGGCATCTATGATAAGCTCCAGGGTATCACTGCCATGAAGATTTGTGGTCTAATGTTATCAGCTGAAGTTAGGAGTTAAGCAAACTGGATCGCTAGCCAGACTACTTCGGTTCAAATGCCACTTCTACCTCTTACTAGTCACATGTCGTTGTTGGGTTATGTAAAACAAAGAAAATAGTGGCTACATAAAACTGGTTCATTTTAAAATTTAGTATGTACAAAGTGCTTTGAAGAGTGCCTAATACCACCCTGGCTGATGTGACTCAGTGGATTGAGCACTGGCCTGCAAACCAAAGGGTTACAGTTTTGATTCCCAGTCAAGACACATGCCTGGGTTGCAACTCAAGTTGTACCCCCAGTAGGGGGTGCGTGAGAGGCAACCACATATTGAAGTTTCTCTTCCTCTCTTTCTCCTTCCCATCCCCTCTATAAACAAACAAACAAACAAACAAACAATTTCCCTAAATTTCTCAGTGATGACAAATAATGAACTTTTAATCAGCCTTTCATGAGCCAGATTTGACCAGCAAGCAGTTCGAGAGAACTATGCTACAAGTCTAATATGGAAATCACACCTTGGAGATACATATAGAGGCACAAAATGCAACCAAATTGCATTAATTTATGTAAAATGAAGAAAGGCATAGTTTGAAAAAGCCCTATTTTTAATTAAAAGCAAAAATACTGCTTGAGCTAAAAACTCAATCTCATTTATAAGAAGTATTTTGAGGGTCCGTGAGCTTTTGCCAAAATGGGGTGACAGCACCAGCTCAGCTATTTCCTCCGTCCCACTGTGATCAACAAGGAGCCAGAAAACACTCAAAACTACGTAAGTGATTAAGCAGTAAAGAATCTAACAACGCTCCAAATATCAAAAACATTTCAACAGACCAAAGTGAATTAACACTGACACATGGCACTGACAGTGATTACAACTCTAACAAGACCAAAAACTACAACCCTGATTTTTTCCTTAATTGCCTAATTCAGGCCTAAGTGGGGAAGAAAGTCTCTCTCTACCCCAAGTAAAACCTTTCAAAGAGGCTGAGAGGTCATAAAAATTCAGATTCTACCCCCCAGGGATTGTCTCCTGTCATCTAAGGCTCAGCATTATAGAGTTAGCAAACTTCTCGCAAATGCTTTATCTGGAAATCCAACAACAGCTGCACTGAGCTGGCTGGGAGACAGAAAACATGTTATCTGGCTTCAGACATCTTCATCTAGTGCCTGGACACAAACAGCTCAACCTTAGAGCTCCTTTTGGTTAGGGACCTCACAATGCCCCACCCTGACAACTCTGCAGCTCAAAATGTAAGTTCCCCCAGTCAACTGTCATCTTATATCATGTTCATGTTTCTTCTTCCTCCTGGACTCTTCTCATTACTGCCTTCCCATTCTGCCCTTTGGACCCCTATTACACTTAATACTAGCCATATTATACTCAACTTCTTTCATTAATGTGTACATCTCCTTAATTTAACTGAAAACCTGACTTATCTCCTAAAGACCCTGACAGTTCTATGGCCTTCTCAGAAAGTTCCTCATTTTCAAAGCTTTAGTCTCCACGGGCGAGGGGAAGCTGCTGAATCTTCACTGTTACCACCCTTGCAAACAGTATCTCTCCACTGAGGTTTGTGACACTGCACGACAGTACCCTTTCAGCCCAACAACAGCTATCTAGCAAATGCCATTTTTCACTCTCATTAAAGGAACAATCTGGCAGCTAGTTCCCATATTTCTCTCCAATTCTTGTCCCAACAAGCACTAATTTCAATTTCTAGGTGTATAACCCAGGCTTAAAATTTGTTCAGGTCAGCCCTGGAGGGGTAGCACAGTTGGTTGAAGTGTTGTCCCCATACACCAAGGTTGCAGGTTCAATCCCCAGTCAGGGCATATATAAGAATCAACAAATGAATGCATAAATAAGTAGAACAAATGGATGTTTCTATCTTGCTCTCTCTCTCTCCCTAAAAAAAAAAAAAATCAATAAAATAATTTTTTTAAAAAGTTCAGCCCTGGCTGGTGTGGCTTGGTGGATTGAGCACGGGCCTGAGAACCAACGGGATGCTTGTTCGATTCCCAGTCAGGGCACTTGCCTGGGTTGCAGGCCAGGTCCCCAGTGGGGGGCATGTGAGAGGCAACCACACATTGATGTTTCTCTCCCTTCCCCTCTATGTAAAAGTAAATAAATAAAATCTTTAAAATAAAAAGTTTGAGGGATGGGAATGGGAGTAAAAGACAGAAAACTACTTGAACAACAATTAAAATAAAAATTAAACAACAACAACAACAAACAATTCATTGAAGTCATTGTGAAAAACAATATCCCTCTACTCCAGACACTCTATCCCATTACCACATCTAGTACCTTGCCATCATCTGGACTGATTCACCACTTGTATTCTTAAACATTCTACTCTCTCACTATAACTTCATTGGACCACTGCTCCTTCAAACCACCAGCTCTGGTCCAAAAGTATTTCCTTCTCCTCCTAGCTTGGGGTTCATAATCTATTCAATCACTCTCTCACCACTACCATCAATATTCCTCTTCCTTTTCTCACAAAACCACAAGTTAGATAAATGCAACTACGGACTCTACTGTAATATCCAAATTAAATGCAATTGGGAATGTGATGTTTGACCACTTTCAATCCAACACTACCAGTCCAAGTGACAGCACAGTTAGACAATCTTCAAGTCTCAATTTAGATGGTAATTCCTGTGATGCTTTCCCCAAACGCTCAACATCATCAGATGCTCTATCTCCTCTGTCCCTTTTTACATATCTCCATTACAGCAAGTATATTAGGGTATCATTATTTGTATACCTGTCCTGATTGTTCAAGGGCAGATGTTCCACATTATTATGCTTCTAGTACACTGTTATACCCAGGAAGCACTTAACAAATGTTCTCTAAATGTATTAGTAAGTCCAAGAAATCTTACATACAAACATGAAACATGGAAGAGGGGAGAGACTGGTCCAAAAGGAAACCCTAACTTTAGTGATGTCTAATTGTATCTTGCTGTTGTTGTCTTTATCCTCTTTTAATACATATCAAATTTTAATTCAGGCCTATAAAGACTCTGGAAACAACACAGAAGATCAATCATATTCAGCAGTTAGCTTGTTCATATAGCTAGTAATTAAAATATGAATACCAATGAATTTCTGACTTACCATGGCAACATCATCTAAAATGCTCTGAGGTGAACTATGAGCCATAACCTACAAAAAACAAGTAAATGTCACTTTGAAAACAAACAAATACCAACATAGTCTAGCAATGTTAAGGTACCCTCAAACTAGTGTGGAAATTTCTTATGGCTGAAGAACCTTTCTATAAATTTCTTAATTCCCCAAACCCCTCTCTCTTCAATGGATACTTGACACCATAACCTGAGATCTTAATATCTATAGCATCTGTCTTCTAATTCAAATCCAAGCTTACAAGTTTTAATGCTACAATAATTGTAAGTGCAAAGGATAATCTAAATCTATTTCTAATGTTAAAATAAGGAGAAAGAAAAGTATTTCTTTAAATGTAATTAGTTACTCCTTTACAGAAATATGGTACTATATTTCCATATACTATAATATCTGTCACATGGGGATAATGCTAGTTAACTTACACTTTCTAAGGTTGTTAGGGGGGTTAAGACAATAAGGTTATATAAAATGTTTAACACAGTACCTGCTGAGAACAAAGCCCATCACAGAGTAATCAACCAGTAAATATTATGCTATGAAGGAAACTATTTTGCTTTTCCACCAAAGGATGGATGAATGGATGACTAACAAATTGATGAGATAAGCTATCAGCTGTCTCCACAAAACCTCCTCAGCTGTACTACAGCATCTTTCTAAACATTAAGACAAAAACGGAGGGGCAAGGCATTCTGAGGGGCAGGGAGACAGCAAAACTTCCAGCAGCCAGCAATTCTATCCTCTTTGACCCTCTGAAATGAAAGCATGTGGTGTAAGGATCTGAAATAGGGTGGAGCGATTAATTTAAGTAGCCATGAATCTCTTAATTGAAACTAAACTATCACAAGTATCTGCAAGATACTTCATTTTAGAAAGTATCTTAATATTTCAAAGTATAAAACAAATGTTGGTAGTGAAGGAAGAAAACGACTAACCTTAGAACAAACAAAATCAACTAACGTAGCTTCTTCTTCACCTATGTATTCTATAATTTTCTTATTAATCCACGGTCTAATTCGTCGTTCCATCAATATCTGCAAAATAAAGTATGGACACTAAATTTTTGGAAGTGACTTTTTTATTATACTTACAAAAAAGCCTATAGCCTTGTGAGTTTTCATAATATTAAAATATAGTTATTCACAACTAAGACAGGTATATATCAAGATATATTTGCTTCTAATTGATAAAGACTTCAAGTACCACCACCAATTCCCCAATAATCTACTCAATTCTCAGTGTCAAGGTTCCAGCCACATAATCATCCCTACTTGTCATTAATAGAACCACCTGAGTTTGTATGCTATATTCAAAACTACTTCCTATAAAATGACAAATTACAATTTGCTACTCACAGAATCCACAATAGACCAATCCAGGGGATAAGCAAAGAGCTCAGGTTTGGCTGTAGGGATTTTCTCAATGAGACTCTTAATGTGCTTGCGCTTTTCTTCAGTGTTTACAGTGCCTTTGGCAGCATTTTTATCATCTTCACCATAATCCAAAGGAACCAGTTTCCTTTTTCGGGGAACATCATCACTGTCTTCATCCTCGAATTTGTTAAAGACACTATCTACAGGGAGTTTCTTTCTCTTCACAGAATTAGGTTGACCAGGACTATTGGAAGCACCTATAGTAAAAACACTGTATTAGCATGACGACTTCCTTTTCAAATGTTACATTTTACAACCCATCATCCCCTCAAAAGCAGCGCAATATATACTTCCACAAATCTCAGATGAAGATCCCAACTATAAAAAATAACTCACTACTCACAAGTGCTAGAAAATTTAACTTTTCACTTCTTCTCAGAACTCGAGGCAGCTGCAGATATAGGAGCACTAGTAGAACTATGAAAACAATGGTGAGCTAGAAAGGCATTTTTGAATATTTTTCTATCTACCTACCAAGCAGCACATTCATTTTTTCCTTAAGGCAAAATTTAGGTGTTTGCAGGGGAAAAAGAAGGAAAGGAAGGAAATGCTAACATACCCAGTTTAAGACTTAGTCCTATTTTTGGCCTATGCTCCTCCGGTTGTTGTTGGTCTGGCGAGTTTTCGTGAGGAATTATAATACCACAGGGAGACTCATCCCCAGGAGTGTTGGGGGTTGCATTGCCACTGGCAGAGGAAACAGATGGGGCGGAACTGATGGGCCTCAGAGTTGGTTTGAGACAGGGCTTCTGCTCAGGCTCTTCTTCCTCTTCCACGGGTTCCTCTCGTTTTTCTTCTTTTTCTTGCTTTTCTTCTTCCTCCTCCTCCGATTCTGGTTCTTGCTTTATTTGTGGTTGTCTGCGCCTCTCAGCCTCTTGTTCCATCTAAAACCAAAAATAATCAGATTAACTCAAGCAGACCAGAGCTATACTTAATTCAACTGGCTTTTTGTTTTATTTTATTGTCACAGAATCTTTTTTTCTTTTTCATTAGGAATAATGGTACACTGCTTCTATAATCAGAAAGCTGAGTAGATCTGTAAAGTGTTACAAACTCTGCAAAATTTTCAAAATATTTTACATGTTACCCTTCTTCAGTGGCTTGTACAAACGCTTCAGATTAACAAAGGTAAATACATAATGGTTGGCTGATTCAAAATGAAAAAGGATGTTTTTGCATTTTTATTAAAGAAATTATAACCAGAAGTTTTATTTTAGAACAGTGCACATAATACACAAGAGGCAACTCAAAACCTCAGCTGGTCATACGCTATCATTTCTTCCTCCTAGCTGATGCTAAGGGTGGCAGTCACTACTGTATTCATGAACAGAAGGACATTAAGAGGGTGGGGGGAACTTAGGAGTCTAAGGCCTATAACAAAATGAATGTTCCCCTGAAATTATGAAAGATAATAAAAAATAACAACACCATTATAAAAAGTTAAATAGATCAGTATTTTTTCTGTGCATAAAACAAACAAAAAAACTATATTCTAAACTACATAAAATTTCAAATCCACTGGTAGAGAATTAAAAAAATATCCCAACCTAAATATTATAATGGTAAAGCCTTTTTTTTTTAATGGTAAGAATTTAGAAGACCAATAATATACCCTAATAGGAAAGTATATAAAAAAAAAAAAAGAGCCCTGGCTGGTGTGGCTCAGTGGATTGAGTACCGGCCTGTGAATCAAAGGGCTGCCAGTTCGATTCCCAGTCAGAGCACATGCCTGAGTTGCAGGCAGGATCCCCAGTTGGGAGTGTGTGAGAGGCAACCAACTGATGTATCTCTCACACATCAACGTTTTTCTCCCTCTCTTTCTCTTTCCCTTCCCCTCTCTCTAAAAATAAATATTTATTAAAGTATGAAAAAAGACAAGCACTATAGTAAAATTCTGGGTGAAAGATTACACCGCATTTAAATACACATCAGAAAATGGCATGTAAATTGTAATTTCACCTATAAAACTTATGTATGAGTGGGGTATACATATACCTGTGTGGTAACATTTAAAAAGTAAACTACACTTAAATAAAAGGGGCATGTTAGAAGACATGGTTTCTGTTAAGAAACAGCACATTACCAAATTTTTAAAGTTGATATGAAAAGTTTAGAACATTACTAGATTCATGATACACCCAGCGCTAAAAACTCTAAAAGTGACACTCTCTATTCCTAATAAGCATGGGGTATGTCATGTCCTATAACAGTCTTTTCCTTTTAAATGGCAAGTTTTACTTAAAAAAATCTTTACTTTGGAAAGAAAATAATTTAGGATGGCGGTGAGAGAGGAAACTCCAACCACAAAAACACACTGTAGAAAGAGGTTTCTAGCAAAATCTCATTGAAAGACATTCATTTAACTTAAGTAATATTAAAAAAATAAAGGAATAAAACATCTGGAAAATGGTTAGAATAATTAAACTTATAAATAAACCAACTGCATAATAAAAAGTACTAATAACCTCCCCCAAACAGCATGATTCACGAAGCATAAAAGTGCATCGCTGTTATAAACTAAACTACATCACGGTCACCTTAAGATGACATGAGAGCAATGTCACTCCAATGAGCTTAATAAAACAAAATTTATAAATGACCTGATAATCCTAAAAGAATACTGTTATGTATGCGATAGTAACTCACCCTCTGAAGCTCTGCATCTGGATCTGGATGTCCTTCTGCCAGAAGTCGCTGCCTGATTTCCTCTAGCTCTTCCTTCTCTCTTTTCCTATCCCGTTCATCTGCTTCCATTTCCTTTTCCCTATCACGCAACCTTTTCTGAAGAGCACTTCCTCTGCAAAAGAAAATCATAACAGGCCACCTTCAATACTCAGATCACCAACAACTGCACATGAGGTCTCCAAAATCACTTTCTTTCAATACTAAAAGCTGTATGCTAACAGACTGAAAATTCTTAATGTTCTGTATATGCAGAACACCCAAGACATCATGATCTCTATGCATTACTGTTTAATAAGTGAGCATTGTATTATCACTAAATACCATGCCTTATTATTAAGTCATTCTAAAAAACTATCTAAAACAGACGAGTAACTTCCAGAAAGAAAGAAAGCTCTCGTTTTGTGCCTACCCCACAGGGAAACCCCAATATGTAACTTGTGCTCTTGGATGCCAAATTGTTAAAAATTAACACAAGAAGTTGTGACACTAAGAATAACTCTATATCTTCAAGTAAAATAAACTCTTTCCCTTGTGGAAAAGAGTCGTAGAAAATAGTGCAGAATCACTAAAAAAAAGAGGTTCTAACTAGCAATTTATTATATCTCAGAACGCTGAACTATGTACTGCTATTTCATGATTCAGTAAGTTTACATTCTTTGGATTTTCTACAAAATCAGATCTTTGACATTTTTTCAGTAAGTTGCTAACTCTGTTATTTCCATTGTTTGGCTCTAGTGTATGAAACTTAATTACACATTAAATGCCTTTACTATATGGCTGGATCATACGAGGCATATGAGGTTTTTTATTTTTTAAAAGATTTTATTTATTCATTTTTAGACAGAGGAAGAGGAGATAGAGAGAAACATCAATGTGTGGTTGCCTCTCATGCACCCTACTGGTGACCTGGCCCACAACCCGGGCATGTGCCCTGACTGGGAATTGAACTGGCGACCCTTTGGTTCACTGCCCACGTTCAATCCACTGAGCTACACTAGTCAGGGTAGATTTTTTATAAATTAAAATATTGTCCGCATCTTCAGGGACATTAGTTTGGAGTAGAGAGAGCAGAGCAAAGCCAACAATTTTATAGTAGTGACTTAAGTGCTGGCATCAAAGTAATTTAGAAATGCCATGGGAACAAAGAGATGAGGGAAGAAGGTAGGTTTCACCAACACTCACTTCACAGTAATATATCAAGTGGGTGGGGGAGGGGATATAAGGGTGTCCGGATTGCTTTGTGGCACTGATGAAATCCTTGAAGACATCAATTTCTAGACCACCTTAGGCAGTTATAAAGGTCAGTTATAACTTGCTATAAAAACTGGACATCTTTAAAATAAATGAAATACTATTACAGACTTCCCCCACACCAAAAAAATACATATAATTGTGGATCCTCTGCTAAGTGCTCTTTCCCCCCACTGCCCAACCATCCTCCCCTCAACAGCGTATCAGCTATGGGGGTGATTATACGATAGAATGTGAAGATTTTGGTTTCTTTTTTATTCTGCAGAACTTGTGAATTTGTACTCCTTAGACAAGGGAAAATACAGCTAAAAAATGCTGAAAATACGAGTTCATAAAACAAGGATTCTTTACCTGTAATATTTGGGATCATCTCTATCATCATCATAATCTTCTAAGAATTCTTTCAGTCGTTTAGCTTCTTTTGCCTTTGAGGAAATGAAGGACAAAGTGTGCAAGATTAACATAAAAGTCATTTAGGTTACACCCTCCCCCTTTCTTGGGAACAGATTTTTCTTATCCATACCACTTGAACTTTATAATTCTCATATACTTCATTTATTAAATGTGCATAAGAGTATTTTTTTGTCTTTTAATCATAAGACAAGTCAGACTTAGGACGTATCTGTAAAATAAAACCACATATAGTATGCTATAATAAATTTCCTCTCTGAATATAATCTTCAAACTACAGGCATTATTTTCTAACTAATGAAACCTGAGCATACCAAGAAACAAAACTGAAAGTTATCTTACTGAGTATGTTATGTTAACTGAACAAAAAAATATTTTAAACTGTTTCACTTGCAGGTAAATGATGCTGCAAAGTAGTTTTTTGTGAAATGCAGGATTAAAATTTTAAATCACATTCATGCATCAACCTAAAGGTATGCCTGTCTCACTTTGAGTATACACACCATGAAAATACATAAACCTCTTACTCCTGTTTTTGGAATTTTAGTACAAATATTGTATTTAATTGCAGCTATATCTAACAATTACATATGTATAAATACCTAATCTGCATCTATACTATATGGACAACAATAAAATCTACATACAAAGCAGATAACAGCAGGTTTCTGACTACACTAAATTTTTAACACACTTCATCCAGTTCGTATTACCTCTCTTTAAAACTTTCCTAATCTAATCCCCTCTATGACCCACTCCTCCCCGAGTCTCTCTGTGCTCCCAAAAGACTGTGAATACACCTTCACCATGCCTTAAACACTCTCACACTTGCTACAGCACATGCCTTATCTCTCTGACAATACTACCCGCAGACTACCAGGTAGCCATAACAATACAAATACCTAAATAAAACACAGGAAGGCTGATAAAGGCAAACACTAAAACAAATGTAAGTTACCACTCCTGAAGAGCAGAAACTGCCACTTTTTACATCAGACTTCTGTTACTTGAACATTTTTACAACGAGCAAATAAACGCTATTTTTTTTAAGTCCCCAAACAAAAAATAATAGGAAATTTTTCTCTAGAAAGATAGGTTTCAGATTTGCTTATAGGAAGCAGAATCACTTCAAATTTATTTCACAATGTTCTTCATGGCAAACATTTCTTTAAATAATTATGTCTCTTACTATATTATTCTCTTCCTACTTTCTAACCTAGGGATGAAAAAGAAATTCTAGAACGAGAGCTACAATCCACGGAAATAAAAAGTACTTTAAATAATTCAGTAACGTTAGCGGTGTACGATCCAGAACACCCACACTATCTATCTAGTTGCTGCATGCACCCTTTTGGTTACTTACAAAAATTCCCTCTATGTCTCATGTTCAAAAGCTATTTGAAGAAGATTCCTAACTTCAGTGAAGTTTTGGGAAGAATAATCTCCAAACTGGAGATAAAGAAACTTTCATGAAATTCTGGCAAAGACAGAACACATGGAACATACTACTAAAGCAAATACTATGATAAAATATACTTTTGTCATTTTAGTAACAACCTAAACCAATTGCTTCACTCTTACATATCAAGCAATGCAAATGTGAAAAACAAGATGTATTTTTTATGACTATCATATAGTCAAAAGAATAAATAGCATTCTGAGGAAGAAGTATAATCCGTAAGTGTTATATACAGAAGACAACGTTTTGATTTATGAAACTAGAGGTCTTCTCATGACGCTCTCCTCCATCCAAATGTACCACCCAATACAGAATATCAAAGCCTCTTCAAATTCAAAGGTGTTGCAGATTCTTAATCAGAGAATGTTCTATAAACTCTCATTTTATGTAATACTCTATGACAGATCTACTTTAAAAGTATGTCAAAATGTAATTTTGTTTACAGATAGCAAAAATATAAAAAATAGGAGGAAAAAAGATTTTGGTGTACTGAAAGTTTCTCAAGGTTACTTAAAATATATGAAAATAAAATTACACTGGGAGCTCATACACTTTAATTATAAAGTTACTTTTAGTTAAGAGTAAAGATTTGATCTCATTTATATCTGAAAATCACTGATTTATAACTAGAAGATTACCATTTCTCTTCTTCTTTCTTCTTCTCTTTCAGCCTCTTTCTCATATTCCCGAGTTTTCTTCCGTTCTCTGATTTCCCAATTCTTGAGACGCTAAAAATGAAATTTCAGAATCTTAAAAATGTATACAAAGGGTTCAATTTTTGACTAAGCTACTAAGTACCAAGCTTTACAAATAAAAGCATTTCCTCAATTTACCTCTTGGTAAGCAGCTTCTTTCTCTCTGAGTTTTCTCTCAAGTTTTCTTCGTTCATATGCATCTTCTTCGTCCTCCTCTCGGTCCCTCTTCTTGTCTTTCTCTCTCTCTCTCTCACGCTCACGTTCACGTTCTCTCTCTCTCTCGCGTTCTCTTTCTCGTTCCCGTTCTCTCTCTCTCTCGCGTTCCCGCTCCCGTTCCCTTTCACGATCTCTGCTCTTTTCTCTACACAAAAAAAAGATAAAAATTTAAAAATCTGTCAGTCTCCTTTCTGTTTTCCTTTAAAACCAAGGAAGAGAGAACATATATTATATGAAATATACAAACTCACAAGCCAGAATTCAGCATTTGATCTCTGCACAACTGTAAAATCCTCTGTATTTGTCAAAGAGACATAGAATATATTTCCAGCCCCAAATTCTGAATTCAATGTTAATGCATATTGGTATCTCAGAACACAAACAAAGACACTGGGTATAAGACATAAAAAGGACTAATGAACATGTTAAAAGATAGTCTGTTTCACTAGTGGTCAAGGAAGAAAGATGTTGGAAGGGTGTGGAGAAAAGAGCATTTTGGCATCTTACACAGATAAATTAAATTCATATTTAGGAGCAATAAAAAGTTCTCAAATGTTTAATTTGGAATGATAAAACTGAATTGCAGTGTATGGTATGGTGCCATGGGTCTAATTAAATACAAATATACATGTCTACATACAATATAATACACTATCTATAGATTCATATCTATAGTAGAAATACAAAAACATTGACTTTATATAGGTCGAAATCTCAATGATGGTTATTCAAAAGGATACTAGTTATTCCAGGGGAGGAAGGAAAAGAATTTGAATGCCCACTAAATAGTAAGAGCACTGAACTTCCAGTTTCAGCAACTGGTAAAATGGCCTAAATTGGACCTCCCCTCAGCTACAGTAAGATGGAAAATCTGCAACACAAAAATGTTTATCTGAGATAGAGAGCGGGACATCCAGCTTGCAAGTGGGAACCCCTCTGCACTGTGTGTAACAAAAGAGAGAATTAAAAATGAGTGATGTTGAGAAGGGCAAGATTTTTGTTCAGAAGCGTACCCAGTGCCATACTGCAGAAGACAGAGGAGAACACAAGACTAGGTCTAATCTCCACGGTCTATTTGCCTGAAAGACAGATTAGGCCCCTGGATTTCTTAGAGGGACGCCAACAAGAACAAAGGCATCACCTCAGGAGAGGTTACACTGATAGAGTATTTGAAGAATACCAACAAGTACACTCCTAGAACAAAAATGATCTTTGCTGGCATTAAGCAGCGTACAGAAGGGCAGATTTGACAGCTTATCTTTAAAAAGCTACTACTGAGTAATAGTTGGCCACTGACTTATTGCAAGTGTCTTGTAGCTTTACGTGTACTGTACTTAAAATGATCTCATACACCAGAATTTAGATCGTGATGGCTGATAGAACATTTCTTTTGCTCAGTCCTGATTTAAATAAAATTGGCTTGTGGTTAAATGAGTGTGATCAGCTTTTAGAACTGTGATGGCAATTCTGGCTCAGCAAGGGCTATCACTATTCTCCCCTTTTAAAAATATGATTGGACTTGATTCATAATGTTCAACTTCTGACACAGATGGCGAATGCCATCTCAAAACCTATAGAAGATTGGTTTTATATTTAGATTTATGCAACTGGTTATATTAACATGTTTAAATACTGAGAAAATATTGTTGCTTCACTGTTTCTTTGAACTTGTGTTTCAAATTGTGTTCATTAACCTGTTAAAAGGCAAGGGCTGAAGATAAGCCGGCAGTGTCCATTTTATCTTCTTTGGTCCTAACTATGCCAATTTAATTAAAATCTCCTGTATCTAATCTGTTGCCTTTTACTTAAAGGCATTTTAGTGTCATTTATGTGTAATATCAAATAAAGAATATTTAACTTTTCTTTTTTTTTTCTTTTTATTAATCATTGTTCATATACAGTTTTCTCCTTTTTACTCCCAATCCAGTTCCCCCTCCCTCCCACACTTTTCAAAAAATGTTTGAAAACTAGCTTGAGAAAAAAGATGTGCTTTTCTTCTCCCCCCCCCCCATTTCTCCCTTTTCCATTGTCTTTCCTTTTTACTTCCTCATTCCTAAAGAATTTGGGATTCATCAATTGAAATCAATATAATTAAGAAAAAATTCTAAATACAACAAAACAGTGTAATTAGGAGTCATAAAGAATACATTAAAGTCTGGGAGGTGAGTTTCAGGAGTCCAGAGGACTATAGGACCCAATAAAGGACACCGGAGGCGGAGCGCTGGGGTGCTAGAGCTGAATTCCCAGTATACAGGACCTCAGTGAGACACTAACTAGGGAAAAAAAGGCCACTGGCCCAGGAAGACAACAGAGAATCCTGCCTGCCCATAGAACTGGGTGAACAGTGGTGTGTGTTCTGAGTGTGTGTAAAAACTGGCTTAACGCAGAAACTAATTTTAAAGATGAAAATTGTTACTCTCACCAGTGTTTCTTACATGTGCAATATAGCAAGCCGGGCATGCTCTGTGCCTAAGTTCTCTCATCACATGTATATAAATAGTCCTAAGAATGCTAACCTGCAGTTCGATTAAAGCTATCAGGAACACAGTAACTTCTACGAAGCCTTACCTTGATCGACTCCGATCCTTATTGCGATCTGAACTCCGTTCCCGATCACGGTCACGGTCTCTTTCTCGATCGCGGTCTCGATCTCTCTCCTTTGTCCGGTCACGGTCCCTATCCCGTTCTCGTTCCCGCTCCCGTTCCTTCTCCTTTTCTCGTTCACGTTCTCTTTCCCTTTCTCGTTCCCGTTCTCGCCTTTCTCGTTCCCTTTCACGCTCCCTCTCTCTTTCTCTCCGTTCTTTCTCAATTTCCTGTCTTTCTTTTTCTTTTTTGCCTTTCTCTTCTTCCAGTTTCTAGAAACCAATAAAAGTACTTTTAGAGTTAACTCTGTAGCTCCCATATTCAGAATTTCCCCGGCGCACTGCCCAACATTGGGGGGGAGGGGCAACAAAAAACAGCAGCAACAACAACAAAAAAAAAACCCACTGGTACTTTATGATCAAATACTTGTGGTTTTACTTGACAAATTAAACTAAAGTATCACAAGACTAATTAGATTTCGTGCAAAACCATACACTCTACCGAGACCAGGTATCTCCAATCTTGGATGCTGGGAGATTGTGTCAAGTGTGGCTGGCCACTCAACGATTACGTAATAACTAAAATGACCATGACAAATGTGTTGGTTCACAATAATTTCTGGTAATACAATCGCTTGGCTAAAATGTAATTCTTCCCATTATAAATTTCTGTAAATCACCAGGACTACTGATACTAATTTCAGCCCCAGACTTCCCATTACCTAAAGGCTACTAGTTACAGTTTTAAAGAAGAGGTGGGAAAAGAGGCCACTGTAACCCAACTAAATAATCTACCCTCTGGTGTGCCCACCCTCCAAAAGGCAAGGTGAATTCAGCCAAGATCTGCTTTACTATCTGTGTTGAAACATTTACTCCCATCATTACAAGATGGATAGCCCACCAAATGCAAAAGTTTGAAAATCACTCACTTCAAGCAAAAAAATGTACATTATTGTAATAAGTTTTATTTAACTTAACCATAAAAGCAACATATTTACGCCCCTTATGCCTATAAGACAATAAAAATATATTGACAGTGATAAATCCATCCTTGGAAGGAACAATTGCATATGAACTTACAGATGCTGTGCTAGGACATGGATCGCCAACACTGGATTAACCTTGCCTACAAGCTATGTTTCTGGGAGGAAGAGCAAGTACATGGTTCACAAACAAACCAAATAACAAAGTAAGACCAAGTTTGCACCCTGACAAGATTACCAGTGTATCACACGATTTCTATACAATCTCAGAAAGAAAAAGAAAATACCCCAAACAGGAAAACAAAACAAAAACAAAACATATTTATCCCTCTGGTTCCACGATCAGAGTCACTGAAATAAACTAGCAATAAATGTGCATTTTTTTTCTTTTCTCAGTCATGTAAAGCATTTAAAACAACTTTAAAAAGCAATCTTACCTGTTACACTCTTTTTCTCTTGCTCATGGACCAGAGAACTGAGAGAGGAGTATGAAAGAAAGGCTAATGCGTGAGAAATCAATATATTCAGCTGCTGTGCCAGTCTTTATCAAAGTAGAATGTAGGCAAAGCTAAAACTGAATACATTGAAATTACAAAGGAAAAGAGAAAAAGAAAATGGTAGAAAGAAGACAGAAACTGTAAGCTCTTTAGAGGGTCAAATTCTAATTTCTGAAACAGTTCTATAAAATTATAAAAATTTAAATTTTACAATGAGGCTAGACTACATAAAACTTACCTCAGTGTCATACACTTATAAAGAAATTTATTCCTGAGATAAATACTTACAGATTATTTTAGCTGTTCCAATAATTTCTTTTGTAGAATTCCTCAATTTTTTAACTCTTGCTTAGTCACTGCACTACTTAATTTCTTAAGTGTATAGTTTCACTTATGTAAATAATTTGTTTCAAACTCAATTCAAAGGTTTTGTTCTAAGTAAATGAAAAGGTGAGTGAATCTGGTTCATACTAAATACATTTCTAAAAGATTATATCTGCAATAAATAGATACAAACACACACACATATATATTTTAAGACAAAGACTGAAGAAAGAGGAAATGGAGACTAAACTGATGTAAGAAAGTAACGAAACAATGAAGAGAGAAGGATAGGAAAAAATCGTAAATCTTACCTTATTCTCTCTTCAGACTCGTCCGTGCTGTAAATGGACGCCCCCTGCCACGCTGATACCCTGACAGTCTGCGGTTATTTAATAAACTCATACCAAAACATGCAAAGGTTCACTGAGCTCATTTTTTGTTACTCAAGTTTTAAACATTTCCTTTAACCATACCACCCAGTAAAATAAACATTTTTTCTTTTCCATTTTGACTTTGTTAAAGCACGTTTTGGAAATTCAAAACATTCCCCCTGTAGTGAATTAAATCTTAGGCAAATGCCTAACAGCTTCTCAAAACTCTGAAGCAGGTATCTTGAATTAATTAAGAACACAACTTCACCATACTTTTTTACCAATGACATGACAGGGTTTAAACAAATAACAAAAAGGGAGTAAACCACACACATAACTGTATACTATTTTCAAGGTTACTCAGACATTGGATTTCAATATTAAACCTAACCAAAAGTACTCCTCTAAACTGACTTCCCATGGACTACCCTTTTAAGTCTAAAAATCGATTCGGCAGAACTGTATTTGTGCTTTTAGACATATTTAATTCTTGAAAAAGCACTGTGTGTGTCAGCTAGATCTGGGCCTGGAAAATAAGTGTTTCGCAGCATTGATTCAATGGCATTAATTGTCAACTTGGAATTTTGAAAGCAGTAAGAAAAACTAAGATTAAATAAAAGAAAATATAGGCACAACATTTCACTGAATTAAAGGTCACTCAGTCTTATGAGGAAGAACCAGTAATATCTTAGCTGTAACATTAAAATATATTTCATGCAGTGTTTGCATTTCACTGTCCATAAGCATCACCTTCAACATCAGTGAACATTCACAGAGGCACTGTCGTTGAGAGAAGCTTTCAATAGGCGAAACGCGTGAGTTGGATTTACTATGCACAAATACCCATTTCCAAGCCAGTTACCCCTTTGCATATTTTTCTGAGGGGGCATCCATAAATATAATAAAAAACAGAAGCTCATACTTACATCCTATTCCTTGTTACTTTCCAAGCTGAGTGTTTCATCTTGCATTAGTCACCATATGATCTCTATCATAATGGTGGGGGGTCAATGAATAGATTAGCTTTATGGGCATTTACAGTTCTTCCATGCATCTAAAATTTGGTAAGTCTGGTAACCACTGACCTACTTTTTAAATCTCCCCCTCTCAACTAAATCTATGCAAATATAAATCTTAAATTTTAACCTCAGCTCTAAAGAAATGGTTTTCCTAAGATTAAGTTAAATAACTGCCCCCAGAAATACACTACAGTGTATGTTATCCTGCCCCCTTGAATCTAGTTTAAATCTGACCTTGATGTTTATGTTGAAATCTAAAAATAAAATCAGATTTCACTCATATTAAAGTGAGATGACTGCAGAGTAGTAAGTAACTGAAAAAACTAAGTACAGTAAGTCATGGTCCACTTTAATATGGTATTGGTCTTCTGTTTTTTTTCTATCTAAATACCAATTAAACCTATAAAAAGCATTTAAAAGTATATCCTAATGTAAGGTTGATTTTTTTTTGTCTGTTTGCTTTGGATTCTGTAAAAAGTCTAGATTGGTATCAAGGGAAAAAACAAGAATACTACCTTGTGTGTGTCTCTGAATTTGCTGATCTCTCGGGATATCAGGTCTCTTTTGTCTTCTTCCATTTCTATAGCATTTATATCCTCCTAAAACACAAAGGGGACAAGAGGGAATGCATAAACATCAGTCTAATGAAAATAAAGGTTAGATATCTGTACAGGTCTTACTAAAGATAGAGGTAAATAAATTAAAAGAATATAGTAACAAATAAGTGTTACTAATTTGTTACAAATAAGTGTAACGAATCTAACAAAGTTAAATAGGGAAAATCATATAAACAAGAATCACAAATCTGGCAATTAGCAGTAAACACAGTTATTGTAAAAGCCTACAACATGAACAAACCTTAGTGATGAGTGGATAAGGGATCAGAGGTGCCACTGGAAATCTGCGGAAAATCTGCGAAAAAATCCAGGAAGAGTTTTTAAAAACAAACAAACAAAGCAGTAAGAGTTCACATTACTCTGCAAAACTGTGCTCTGTAAGTTTATATTATAAACAATTCAGAATCTGTGACATTTTCTGGATTTCAAATTATTGGAAAATAAAGAACGGATTTCACTCACTCTATAACCTTTTCCATCACCTCCTCTCCCTCCAACTCCCCTAAGCAATGAAGTGAGGATGGTCTCATACTAGCAGGGCTCTTTCTTTGATTCAGATTTGGAAACAATCATACCAAGAAAATGTGTCTATAATTTCTGCCATAGAGCAGGATTTCTTTGATCCTCTCTTCCAAACTCATATCCAACATCATTGTCTAGTTATTTTCTCCTTTTCCATTACTGAGGAAGGGAGAACACTCCACAGGCCTCAATTAGCCTGTACCTGACTAACTCTTCCAATTACTATTCCCAATTTTTGGCATTTCACCAGGCAGGTATTTACGACCACATGAGAAAGAACAAGCCAAGTAATAAAAATGTATGTGGCCACAAAGAGCATTGAAGATGGCCTAATACGGCAATAAAATCCAAAATAATATGAACCTTGATATTAAATCCAGTATGTTTCACAGTACTTTTTCTTGGCATAGGCAATCCATGAATATAGCATAATTCTAACATTTTCAAAGATCACTCTTGTCCTAACTATTATGGCTCAGTGAGCTGAATGTCTGTTATCCCTTAAACCGAAAGGTCACCAGTTCCATTCCCAGTCAGAGCACATGCCTGGGTTGCAGGCCAGGGCCCCAGCAGAGATTCATGCAAAAGGCAACTAGTTGAGGTTTCTCTCCCTCTCCCTTCTCTTCCCCTCTCTATAAAAATAAATAAAATCTTAAAAAAAAAACCCACTCCCCATAATTTCTCTAAGTTTATTCAAAAGAAATGGGTATAAAAAACAAACATTTTCTTTCAAGCTGGACCCCCTACTGTTCAGTTAGCTTGGTCTGACAAAGAATGGTGATAATAAAATACACTAAGGTGGAGTGCTTCATCCTGTGCTGCTCTTTCATAGTCCTCCAGTTAGAATTTAAACAGCATTATTGTGCACGGAGGATATGAGACATAGTTTATAAGGAGAGGTGGCTAAAAATTTATAAAATGGGTAAAAATCCTCAAGTGAATGAGACTAGCATCCTGCTCGGAGCAGTGACAGAGTGATAATGAGGGAGAGTAAGGCAAAACATGGCCAGCTCCTTCATAGCCAAACAAAAACAAAAACATTTCACTTTAACCCTTAATATCAGTCCCTACACCTCATCACTCAACGTTTGTTTCACCTTACTGAATCTGAATCCAAAGCAAAGCAGAAGCTTCCATGCCAGTACATTTCAAACATGGAAAACAAATGTTTTGGTTAAAAAAGTAAACTTAATTGGTCAAATGAGGTTGAACAGTATATTATTATAAATACTAGTCATTCTGTTTTTTCCCTCAGAAATTGAAGTGAAATGAAAGCACATGAGTGACACCATAAAAAGTAAACTGTAGAAATGACTGTTGTCAGAAATCAGTAACACATACGTCCTCTTTCTTTTCCTTCTTCTTCTTCCTTGGGTGAGAGTCAGATTCTTGCGATGGGGCATTGAGCTCGCTGGAGTATTCGCGTATTAGAACTTCAATGGCCCCTTTGATCATCTGATCTCTTCTCTTGGTTTCTTCATCCAAGGCTTCTTCATCATCATTAGTGACAGTTTCTGGCCTGGCATTCTTTAAAACAAAACAAAACAAAAACAAGGCAAATTCAGAAGTTGGAGGGGGAGGAAGGAAGAAATCAACCAAGAAAATGAAAATCATTCTAAAACAAGTTAGTATACAAAATAAACAAAATGTCTTCTCTAAAACATTCCTGTAGTCCTAACTAAATGTAGATTTGGTTCTGCTCTTAACTTTATAAAACTAAACTTTTGTTTTAGTTTTATATATTTCTCTAAGTTTATTCAAAAGAAATGGGTATAAAAAACAAACATTTTCTTTCAAGCTGGACCTCCTACTGTTCAGTTAGCTTGGTCTGACAAAGAATGGTGATAATAAAATACACTAAGGTGGAGTGCTTCATCCTGTGCTGCTCTTTCATAGTCCTCCAGTTAGAATTTAAACAGCATTTAGTGTTTCTTCCTTTGATGTTGGTACTTTATCACTTTCTTGTCCTTTCTTCCCTTGATAGCTAATACTCTGATCCTTAACTAGCCATAGAAATTTAAATCACATGACTAGCATACTGCGTTAAACATCTGCGAAGCTTTCCCAATCTTTCAGACTGTCTTGCTCAATAGTTGCACAAAGAATGTTTCCTAAATAACTTAACAGTTGAAAATTTAATTACATGAAAAAAGCAAAGTATAATATTATGTATACGCTAGCTACTACTTAAACTAAAAGCATGCGCAGGTGAACTGAACCAAAAAACACTGGAAAATTTTATACAATAAAATGCAAGCATCAGGTAGGTCAGGGGCTGAGACAATGGCTTCTTTTTTCCCCTCTGCTTTTTATAATTTCTATAGTGTGGGAATATCACCTATAAAAATCATATACACTAAGTAAGAATCAACTGATTACTGCACAAATCTTTCTCCCCCATGACTTGCATATGTAACATAACAAAACCCCAAAATTCTCCCTGGCTGGTGTGGCTAAGTGGGTTGAGTGTCGGCCTGCAAACCAAAGGGTCACCAGTTGGAGTCCCTCCCAGTCAGGGCACATGCCTGGGTTGCAGGCCAGGTCCCTAGTAGGGGGGACAGGGGAGGCAGCCACACATTGATATTTCTTTCTCTTTCTCCCTCCCTTCCCCTTTAAAAATAAATAAAAACCTTTTTAAAAAGCACACACAAAATTCACATTGTAATGTTTCTCACAAGTAAGCAACTGACTATAAAACTTCATTAATTTAAAAAAGAAGTCTAGACTGTTACTTGTGTCAATATGGAAAAAAAAATTACTGGCTTCTAATGTACTACTATTCTTGTTTCTAAGTTTTATTTCAAGTCCCCTGATTAAGGAGTTAATCCAGTTTAGACCACAAAATTTAGAGAATGACCTCAGAACACTGGATAATTTTCCAGTTGGTTACTCTCAATTCCATGTGTATACAGTTTTAAATTAGAAAAGTTTTTGTGCACATACTTGTGTGCACAAAAACTTGTGTGCACAAAAACTTTCTTAATTTAAAACTGTATACACATGCATGCCCCAAAGTACGTATCAGTGTACCTGAAACTCTCAATTCCATGTGTATACAGTTTTAAATTAGAAAAGTTTTTGTGCACATACTTGTGTGCACAAAAACTTGTGTGCACAAAAACTTTTCTAATTTAAAACTGTATACACATGCATGCCCCAAAGTACATATCAGTTTACCTGGTAAACATATACAGTGCACACTTTCAGATACACAAACATGAACCACGCTCTTCTGCACAAACGCTGGCTCCTAGTCACAATGCATACAACTCTACTCAAGGTTGACTTTAATTGTCAGTGTAAGAAAGACAAAAATAACCCTGTGGCTTCTTAATATAATCTAACAGTTATTTCTTAACCATCAGCATTCTGAAAGCTATCTCCAACGAATACTTACTCAACAAGCATTTATTTCTTAAATGAATTTACTCAACAAAGAGCCTATCATATGCAGAATACTATGCTAAATGGCAAGCAATTCAAAATTCAAAAGAAATAACCTTGCCCTTAAGCATTTAACAATGAAGAAGAGAAAGTTGTGATATAAATAACTTTAATGTAAGTTGTGCAATATTATAAAACTAACCACTGTTAAGAGTTTCTTTCTCAAACCTGCCTCTTCATCCAATCTTCTTGTTGCCAACCTTTTCTACCTGGCATCTTAAATAAAGACAAGATGCTTTACACAAGAACTGTAAGTAAACAACTAAAATAGTTTTTAAAAAATATTGTAACTATAATTCTGGTGATGTGTTCCCTTCTTACTTTAGATCAATCATCTATCACAGTAAGGTCTTTCTGCGACTTTCACTAAAATCCTACCAGTGAAACTCTTCTTCTCCACAGGTTGAAATTAAAGAGTATACCCTCCAGTAAACTTTTCACTGAAATGGAAGGTTTTGAAACACACATGGCTATTTCACCCAACCCTCAACTGTGGAGACCTAAGTTCTTTATTATGAAAATATACTTTATGGAAGAGCATCCAAGTCTGTCTTTAGCTTTCCTCTATATTCTAAATTCCTTTCAATGGCCCTGGCTGGTGCGGCTCAGTGGATTTAGCACCAGCCTGTGAATCCAAACGTTGCTGGTTTGATTCCCAGTCAGGGCACATGCCTGGGTTGTGGGCCAGGTTCCCAGTAGGGGGTGTTCAAGAGGCAACCACACATTGATGTTTCCCTCTCTTTCTAACCCCTTCCCCTCTCTCTAAAAATAAATAAATAAAATATTTTTTAAAAGCCCTGGCTGGTGTAGCTCAGTGGATTGAGCTCGGGGCTGTGAACCAAAGTGTCACCGGTTCCATTCCCAGTCAGGGCACATGCCTGGGTTGCAGGCCAGGTCCCAGTGGGGGCCACCTGAGAGGCAACCACACACTGATGTTTCTCTCCCTCTCTCTATAAATAAATAAATACATAAATAAAACCTTTTATTTAAACGTACATTTTTAGAAGGAAAGCTATTCAGCCCAAATCTCTTAACTAATTGTAAATGTAAGAAAACAAAAATAACCAGATATATCATAGAAAGAACAGTTATTTTTGGTTTCAAGTTGCTCTACCTCTGGGTCCTCAACCATAAACAATTTCCTGATTTCAGGTTTCTCCTTCCACTTCAGACACAAAAAGTGCATTCAATTAATACTGCACAGCAAAAGATGAAGGGTTTAGCAGTACAACAGAATCACAGAAACCCATTAAATATCTGAGATATTTATGTGGCCCACTTAATTTGGCTCCTTTGAGAGGAAAATTTAATAGCTTCAATAGTAAAGCTACTAGTTATAAAGTTGGAAAACAGGTCTTCTAGGCTCCTCTGGCATTTAGAACAAGAACTTCTTTGGGAACTTAAGCAAATGCAGAGCTCTTTCTTTTGATGAAAAGTAGATTCAGCCAGACTAATCTGCAGGCAAAGATGTGAAGATATTCCTACTTATAGCAACTATCACCAATTAAAATGTAATGTAAGTGGCTCCTTCCAGAGATTATCTGTACTTCCAGCACTTGTAAGAATTCATTCTTGAATGCGTGATTAACAACCACCCCCTGTGACAATCAAGCAGCTAGCTCTACCTCTACTGCTGAACAGCCAGAAAGCAACAGGAGGTGGACTAGATCAGCATGGCTACCATAAATTAAATATTTTTACTAAAGGTCAAAATGTTACTTCTACAAATTCTGAAAAATCTCAATGAAAACTTCCAGTCAAGGTAATAGACGAGACACATAATTCCTCTTAAAACTCTGGATCAGAAAAAAGTCTCTCTTTCTAGACAAGTTTGTGTTTCTTTTTTGGTCAAAGGGAACTCTGTAACTATGTTTTCTCTTCTGTTTAGAATCAGAAAAATGCCTGAATAAAGTAACATACAAATTTCTTAATGTCTCAATTTTCATATCATCCATCTTAAGCCACTGCTCTCTAAATCTCTTCAACAAATCAACAATAAAGGAGAAAAAACAAGTAACCTCTCATATTTTATCCTGAAAAATGACAAATCTGCACTCTATACTTCACAATATAGTTATACTTGCCTAAGTTACTTTTTAAAGTTTATCTGATAGTCCCTTGACTTTTTGAAAATCAAAATTGTTGTGGAAAACTGACATTTCAGCAAAATAATGCCATGTTTGTCTTGTGACGTCATGTACCTGGGCACCATTGACAACTGTACCCAGGAGTAATATCTGTTAATTTTTTTTATTTCATTTTATCTGAAATAATTGTTTCTTTTGGAGGTGGCTTCAGTTCTATCCTTGAAGAAAGATACAAGCAGATTTAAGTTGTGGTTCCACTTGCTAGAGTCACAAATTGTGCATCTCCTTATTCATATAAATATACAGTGAAGGGCTTTACTTCATATTCAGAGCACATTACCTGCAAATACTACAAATTAAACCACTTCACAAGCATCTGAATAAACACAGCAAAAACAATGAATCAATTAATTCATTAGTGGAAATAAATAAGAAATCAATTATCACAGCAAGGAAAATCTGAAAACTCTTGTGGCATAGTTTTTTTTTTCTTAAAGATTTTAGTGATGTGACAGGTAACACGCTAATCTGAAATACAATTTACACTCCAGAGAAGCTGTGTTTTATTATTTCCTTATAAAGCTAGCTAAGAACAGTAAGATTATCAGGACAGCAATATACTATAATTGTCATTCAATAAATATGCATTCCATTCTTGCTATGGAAAGACTTTTTCCTAGGTTCTGTGGAAGTACAAGATATAGGGGACACACACTGTGAACTTCTTGTCCTACCTCATAATCAAAAAATGGGGAGAAGGATACGGGAATGAAAAGGGTATAAAGGGCTGTGAGAAAGAGATACAATATTATATACTACAAAGCAGACTGCCATGAACAACAGTAAAAACCTACTTGATATAAGAGAGAATATGCCCTGGCTGGTGTGGCTCAATGGAATGAGTGCCAGCCTGTGAACCAAAGGGTCACCAGTTCGGTTCCCAGTCAGGGCACATGACTGGGTTGCAGGCTAGGTCCCCAGTAGGGGGGTAAATGAGAGGCAACCACATACTGATGTTTCCTTCCCTCCCTTGGCCTCTCTATAATCTATAAATAAAAACAAGAATTTAATTCTGCCTGAGAGGAATCAAGGGGTAGGACTGATGAAGTCTCCACGAGTTGAGTAACATTTTAGTTATACTAACTATATGAACAGAATTTCAACAGGGAGCATGCATGGGCAAAAAGGACATGAGATGTCAGCAGAAACCAAGTTTGTGTGGACACGTGACCAAATGGAGGGTGACTGACGGGGTACACTACAAAGGTAGACTGAGGCAGGCCATAAGTGCTATGTTAAGAAAATGGACTTTAAACTGTTAAGAAACTCAAAACCATTAAGGATGGATGAGCAGGGGATTCGCATAACTATAGTTCCTTTTCTGAAATATAGGCAATACTGTAACAGTCAGATGAGATAAAACTAAATGCAGAGAAATGAGTTAAAATATTATTAAAAGTCTAAGGAAAGGTAAGAAAAAAGCTATTTACAAAACAATACTTAGAATTCAATCCTGTGTTTATGAAAGGACAAATACAACTACTCCTACCAAAACTACCTTCATCCATACAGAAAACTGTCTAGAAGAATATGCAACAAAAATGTCTACAGTGGTTATTACTAATGGTGATAGGATTATGAGTGATACATAATTTCTCCTTTATAGCTTTATTTTATGAGTTTTTTAACAAAGTACAATTTGTTGTAAAGGGAGGGGAACCTAAAAACCTATTCTATTTTGAATGATAATAAAACTTAAAAGCAAAAGGCTGTTTTGTTTTTGTGGAGACAGAAAGATAATAATAAATCTATTTGGGATCTGTTCAACTTGAGGTGCTAAAAGGAACTAGAAAGGGATAACAAAGACATATAAGCTCAGATTTTAGGTATTTTTTGCTTTGTTGAGAAGAAGTAATAATACATACAACACAACATACAAAAATTCCTTTACTTTAGCTTCGCTTTATACAGCCACCAATCTGAGGAAAATAATACTGATACTTATTTTAAATATTTTAGAACTCGTGTACTTCTAAAGGAGAGGGCAACTAATAAAAATTGTGTAGATTGAAATATATTTTGTACTTACTTACAAAGCTGCCTTAATGAATTAGCTCTGTTTGGAATAGTCTGTACCAATGTTTTCTCTGGCAAGTTAACCTTGTCCAGCCTCCCTTACTACCTTCATCCCAACCTGGAACAAGCAAACCAACAGTCATCCACCCACAGTGGGTAGATAAAAGACTTAAAATAACTATAAACTCTAAAAACACCCTTCTGCATGTTAGTCACAAGCATGATGATCTTGTAAAGCCCCATATTAGATTCATTTATATTAAGTATTTACATTAAAAGAGCACATTTCACCTAGAAAAGATAACACTATGGAAAACATACCCCATTAGAAGCTTTCTTCTTTGCTTTCCATTCATCTAGTTGCGCCTTTGTCTTTGCATCAACTTTAACAAGCAGCTTCTTCTCTCCAATCTGCAGGTCATGCAATAACCTGAGTGCCCGGAGGGTAGATTCAGGCTCCTTGTACTCACAGAATCCAAAGGCTAGCAGTAAATGTAAAGAATTCATAAAATGTCAATATAATTATGAAAGACAAAAAAATGTATGGAAAATTAAACTCAATAGAGACCAAGGATTGTAATACTATGTAAGGATTATTCATGTTATTTCACTCCTCCCTTTCCTTCAATTACCTTTGACAGGGGTTTCACTTTTACATCCTCAACCAAAAGCGAGAAGACAAAAGAGGGGAAAGGAAAAAAATTCTAATCAGGCAAACTGCTACGTATTAGAAGTGCTGATAAAAAAGTTAATAAAATGAACAAATTTGATGATTGAGACTATTAATTACTTCACGAATTCATTCCATACAGACTAACACCTACAAATAAGGAGAACAGGCTGTTCCAATGTAAATAAAGCACTTTTCTGAGAAGCTAAACTTCACTGTAAACTTCATTACATAAAAGTAATGATCTCTTATCCTAGTTACTCATCTAATTTTTCTACATCTGTTTCATTTTAGTAACTAGGCTAGTCTCACTATTATTACCATGCCTTTAAGTCAGAGATAATAAAACAGAATTAAAAAGTAACCTAAACACTGAAAGTTAAATTAAACAAATAAATACAAATATGTACACAGTTAATGACATAACCAAACAGAGAAAAACTATTCTAAGTGAATTTGAAATTGGACATTTGACCATACATTTTTAGTGTGACATATCTTAAGGACAAAAAGATCTGTCAATAGCCCTGGCTGGTGTGGCTCAGTGGGTTGGCACCAGCCTATGAACCGAAGGGTCGCTGTTTGGTTTCCAGTCAGGACACATGCCCACGTTGAGGGCCAAGTCCCCGGCTGGAGGCGTGTGAGGAGCAACCAATCAGTGTTTCTCTCCCTCTCTCTCCCTCCCTTCTCCTCTCTCTAAAAAATAAATAAAATCTTAAAAAAAAAAAAAAAGATCTGTCAATAAAAACGAAAATTTCAGTAACTGTATTTTTGATGACAGCATTGGTATTAGCCTGAAATTACTGCGTGTGAAATGTGAGGTGAAGCAAGCCAGTAATTATTAAGTAGTCTATTATCCCAGGTGTCCTTGAAAATCAGGATTCTCAGTGTAGAAGAAAGGAAATACAGACATATGACAGAAAAGAATAAATAAAAACCTCTTAGTCCAAAATTCGAATTAATGTGTACTGGAAAGATGTAAAAGCAAAGACCAAACCACTCTTACAGTTGAGTACACTTAATTCCTAGACTGTGATGTTGAAAGCAGTTTCCTACTAAAAGGAACCAGAGCTCCTTAGAGAAATGGCTAATCTCAAGTCCAAGGCAGAAAATCTACTTGAGTGAGCTCAGAATGTCTTGTCATGCCAGATAACAAAGGCAGGCTTGTACCAAAACCAATGGAAATCCAAAATTGCAGAGGAAACTAACTGATCAGAGCTTAAGCTTAACCCACAATAATAATGGCAATTAATCCCTATTAAGTAAAATAATAAATTCATTATGCTTCAATCTGTAAGTTCAAAATAGTTCTTTAAAAGAAAAGTCACTGCTAGAGGATGCTGAAGATACAAGCTTTTACTAAATAAAATGAAGATCCAAAGCATGTGTCCTGGTTTTCAATATAAATTATACCCTTAAAGTAAGCAAAGAGTAGATGAAGGGGAAAATTTATCCTTATAGAAGTATTCTACTAATAAGTAAAGAATATTTGTTTTTCAAATGAAGGAATGATAGAATTCTTCAAGACTATCATATTTTGCAAACCCCAATCAATAAATCCACTGAAGCATTGACAATCAACAACTGCTACCATAAAAAAAAAAGATACCCTACATATCTCTTTATGGAAGATTACTTTTAGAGAATTCTTACAAATAAAAGCATCAAAGAAATAACATAAACTCAAGTCTGATCAAGTCTCAAGATACAACTACTAACCAGTTTACATAAAATACAGAGGATAAGATGCATGGCATATTATTCTACTAGATCGACAACCAGCAAATCCACACTAAAGAAACACTAGTGGGCAAATGACTCAGTTTCTCCAACAAATATTTCAAGGGAAAAGAGATAGTTAAAATATGTCATCCGCCCTCACTGGTGTGGCTCAGTGGACTGGGTGCTGGCCTGCAAACCAAAGGGTGTCCAGCTGGATTCCCAGTCAGGGCACATGCCTGGGTTGTGGGCTAGGTCCCCAATAGGGGACGTGCAAAAAGCAACCACACATTGATATTTCTCTTCCTCTCTTTTCTCTTTCCCTTCCCCTCTCTCTAAAAATAAATAAATAAAACCTGGAAAAAAAATAAAACTGACATTCCATCTTAAAAAAAAAAAGTCATCCAACTGTAATGTGTATATCTTATTACCCAGTTCCCGAATTAAACTATTAAAAAACCTGATATTTGAGGGAAATGGACATCTGAACATTGACTGGGTATTGACTCAATGTTGGGTCTGTCAATATTGACTTAATGATATGAAGAAAAATAGTTTAAAAAACAAAACAAAACAAAACAAAAAAAACCTAGGACACCAGGGGAAATAAAAAGTTAATTTTTTTAGGTCTTATAATAGTATTTTAATGTTTCTTAAAGAGCCCTTATCTTTTAGAGACACACACTAAAATATTTACAGACAAAATAATCTAATGCATAAGTCTGCTTAAAAATAATATAAGGAAGAAATGGGTGGAGTATAGGTTAAACACAATTGCCCAAGAGTTGATGATAAATGTTAAAACCAAGTGATGAATACATGGGAGTTGATCTTCCTATTCTAACATATATGAATTTTTCCATAATAAAAGGTGTTTAAAGAAAGCCTATCAAGCAGGTGTTTCTATCAACAAGCATGAAAAGAACAATATGCTTTCAAGACTACCAGGCCATCTCATCGTCTTTCTTCTACTTTCTGGGTAAGTCCTAATTGTCCCATCTCGATTAATCACTCCTGCTCTCAGTAAAAAAGAGCTTTGTAATCTTAGAAGAAACCAGCTGGTCTGCATAATTTTTTTTCTTTCCTATCTCCTTCTTGTTATACTTTTCCACTGTCTCAATGCTCAGCAACATCTTCTCAACTGCCTTTAATCCTATTCCAATAAGACAAAAAATGCTAATAGAATACTCCCATGATTAAGGACAATGAGAATAAAACATGCCGAAAGTGATTTATGCACACAGGTTAAAATGATCTCAATAAATAAGGAAAAATGTACCTACCTTGAAGTTTTCCAGATGCACCTTGTACTCTCTTCCAGCTTAAAACCAAGCCACATTTCTTAAAAAGGAAAAAAAAAGTTGTCACTACATAACAAAATAAATGAACTTATAATGCAAAAAAAGCACAATAATATTCTCACTAGGAAAATAACTGAAAAGAAAAAAGACCATATCAGCAACTGAGTTTCTTAAAATTCAATTCCCACAAATCTATTACATGAAAGAAATATATATGTAATGTCAAAGCTGAATATGAATGAATTTTTCACATCGCCCTTCAGGGAAACCACTAAAATAAAAATGAAAGAATATAAAGGTACAAAACCTTAAGGTCTAATACAATATAGCATGAGGAAACAGCAGCAAAACTCAACAAAATTTTGAAAAAGCAGAATGAATGGATAGTAACTCATTCAACAGAACAAAGAAATCTACAGATACAGAGAGTGGGTAACAGGAAGAGAAAGTGAAAGTATAAGGAAATGCTTGAACTCGGTCCTTCACCCAACACACATAGGCAGTCAATCATATATTTGCTCACTGGGCATGAAACTCGAAGTTTTATAGAGAAACCCACCAGCCTTAAAGAAAAGACCTCCACAGCCCTGGCCGGGTCCTCAGTTGTTTAGAGTTGTCCCAATATGCCAAAGCTGTGGGCTCAATACCCGGTCAGGGCACATACAAGAATCAACCAATGAATGCCTAAATAAGTAGAACAACATATCAAATGTTTCTCTTGCTCTCTCTCTCCCTGTCTCTCTCTCAAATCAATCAATAAAATATATTTTAAAAAGAAAAAAGATATCCACATACTAATATTTAAAACTACTGGCTGTTGGTTAGGTTACCCTATAATGATGCCCAGCACTCTAGAAATGCAGCTTATACAAAGGCCCTTTAATCCCTTACTCTTAAATACGAATGGACAAAGATCACCAGACACTTAAGAAAAGTCTTACAAGAACAATGGAAGGAAAGAAGGGAGGGAGGGAGAGATAAATTTAAAAATCCAAAGAAAACCTAGAAGTAAAACACTAGGCTGCACATATAAATCAGGAACAGGTTTTTAAAAGGGTTTCTCAAACTGAAAAAAATATACATATGTCCACGAAAAAACCTCTACACACATACACCATTATTCACAATAAAAAAGTAGACACAGCCCAACTATAAATCAACTGATGAATAAACAAAATGTGGTATAGCAGCTAAATGTAACATCAGACCACAAAACAGACTGAAGTACAAATATGAACTATAATATAGATGTACCTTGAAAACATTATGCTAACTGAAAGAAAACAAAAAGGCCACATATTTGATTCTGTTATATAAAATGGCCAGAAGAGGCAAATCCATAGAGAAAGGAAGTAGAATAGTGGCTTTAGGGACTGGGGTGAGGACACAATGGGAAATGACTGTTAATGGTTACAGGGTTTCTACTTCAGGTGATGAAAATGCTCTGGAGCCCTGGCTGGTGTGCTCAGAGGGATTCATCTGGAAAACCAAAAGGTCGAGAGCTCCAATGCCCAGTGAGGACACATACCTGGATTGTGAGTCAGGGCCCCAGTTGGAATGTGCATCCATGTTTCTCTCCCTCTCCCTCTTTAAAAAATAATATCTTTCAAAAAACAAAAAGAGCCCTGGATGATGTGGCTCAGTGGATTGAGCGCTGGCCTGAGAACCAAAGGGTCACTAGTTCAGTTCCCAGTCGCGGCACGTGCCTGGGTTGTGGGCCCAGTCCCTGGTGGGGGGGCGGGAAATGGCACACATGGGAGGCAGCCACACATTGATGTTTCTTTCCCTCTCTTTCTATCTCCCTTCCCCCTTCTCTAGAAATAAATAGATAGATAAACAGATAAATAAATAAATAAATAAAATCTTTTAAAAAATGCCATTTAGTGGTGGTGGTGTTTGTACCACTTTCTAAATATACTAAAAACCACCGAATTATACATCATACGGGTGAATTTTATGATATATAAATTATATGTCAAAGAAGGTATTTTTTTAAATGTCTTCCCAATGTTCCTCTCTGGGAAAAATTGGCATTATCTTGTAAAGCTGAAGATAAGCATGCCCTACCTCAGAAACTCCACTTCCAAGAGAATATATAATAAAATATTTTTAGGTTCACCTATGAAGACATGATATTACCAGTAATAATATAGCAAAACATAAACAAAATGGAAACAATCTGTGTGACCGTGAGTAAAAAATGGACAATTCATGGTATGCTTCTACAATGCAATACATAGCAGTGAATAAAGCTACATGTTAGGTGAAAAAAGCAAACTGTGAAGAAATACTGAATTAAAACTTGTGAATTGCAAATTTTAACCAATCTATAAATATGTAATTAAAGCAAAAATATACAGAGACTATAAACTCTAAATTTAAGACAGCGCACTATCTCTGGCAATTTACCTTTTGAAAGAAAGATATGGGAATTGGGGCTTTCGATTGTAATGTTTTATTTGGGGGGGAATCCGAAGCCAACTTTATCACAAAATATTGAGATCTGACAAAGCTCAGTTTTGTGGGTGTTTTATTTTCTAATCTTGTTTTTAAGATTTTATTTATTTATTTTTAGGGAGAGGGGAAGGGAAGGAGAAAGAGGTAGAGAAACATGCACCCCTTACTGGGAACCTGGCCTGCAACCAAGGCACGTGCCCTGAATGGGAATCGAACCAACAACCCTTTGTTTCACAGCTGCGCTCAACACACTGAGCTTCACTAGCCAGGGCTATTTTCTAATCATTTTTTGATGCAAGGATCATACAATTTACAAAATAAATGGCAATGTACATTACTTATAAAATAAAAAAGGAAAAGGTTTAAAACTAACTTCTCCAAGAAAAGGGGAGATTACTGAAGTATGGGAACTGTTTTCATTATAAAATCATTCATTATTATTTCACTTAATAATGTGCATGTATCACCAGAACAAAATTTGTAAAACTAAGACAAAAAAGAAAACCAATGACTTTACCAAGTCAAAACAACTTTTCATGCAATAACAACTTTAAAAAGCAATCAGTCAATAAAGGTTGCTGGGAAAAAGAACTCAATCTTCAAATATAAACCCAGAGATTACCTATTAATGACAAAGGGAGAAGAGGTACCCTCCCAAAGCAGAGAGCTGACCACCTTAACCAAGTAGTAACTAAATAGCACCAAAAATAAAACCAAGAGACACTATATGCCTTTTGCTGTGTGGCAAGGAGAACAATATAATAGCCACGAAGTATTATTGCAGAGTGCTTACTCTAAATATAACTATAAGCAATCACTCAAATTCAAATTGGGAGAGATATTGTTAAAAAAAATGGACTCTTCAAAAACGTTAAGTGTCATAAAAGACAAAAAATAAAACAAGCAAACCAAACAAAGGGCAGGGAACTGTTCTTTATTAAACAAGCCGTCTAAGGAGGTGGGACAATCAAATGCAATGTATAAGCCTTGACTGGATCACAGATCAAAAACAAAAACAGCCACTCTGGAAATTATTGATGAAATTCAATTTAAAAATTAAAAAAGAACTGTGTATATTAGTTAATAATACTGTATCATCCTTAAATTTCCTAAGTGTAATAATGATTTTGTGATCATGTAGGAGAGTGTCTTTAGTCTCAGGAGACACAAGAAGTATTCAGAGGGGAAATGTCAGGTCACAACTTACTCTCCGATTACTCAAAGTATGCAGTGTATGTTTATAGACAGAGTGAATGTGGCAAAATATGTTACAAGAGTGCTCACTGTACTATTCAACTTTTTTTGGTAGACTGAAAATTTTCAAAATAAAAAGGAGAAAATTATTATTCGAAGTCCTCTTTCTACTTTTTCCCAAGTTTAAAATTAACAACAAAAAAAAATGTTAATGAGAAGTAAACAGTTTGACTCACAGCAAGGAGCTGTCTTATGAGCATGTCTGAGGCTTTCTCAGAAATGTTGCCAACAAAAACTGTCGTAGTAGGACCACAATTTTCATCATTTTCTTTTGCCTTTAAGCCTGGATGATCCTTTCTGGCTCCCAAATGCTTTCCAACCATGGACACTGTGGGTACTAAGACCTAGAAGGAAGAAAGGCAATAAAATTTGATCTGGCAATTAAACTTCCTATCATGTTTAATGTAACATTAGGCAAAAAACATCAATGAAAATTAGTGAAAACAGGGTGGGGCAAAAGCAGGTTCACAGTTGTTCATATGAACAATGATATCATAATTAATAAATAATAATACAAGAATAAACTGCTTCTCATACAATTATAAGCCGACTTTTCCTCACCCTGTATATAGCACATCATTATTAAAAGGTCTACATACTTAATCTAAAGCTCCTAAAGCACACAGCATTTGTCATTAATGCAAACATTTATGACAAGTAAAGTCCTACTGTTGAATTACCTTTCTTTTAAAAACTTGGAAAAGCAAAAATAACTTCGATAGAAACTTTAAGAGAATTTTTTATTGTTTAAAACATCATAAATGATTTAAAATTATCAAATATACCCAGAAGTTTCTTTATAACTATACTAGTATAACAGCAAATTTCAGTCACCCCTGCTAATCCTGTTGCAGAATATTCAAATACTCCCATAGCACTCCCTCACACTTAAAATTTACCCTTTATAACTTTCAGCTTCCCAGAGGAAGGAATAGTCTTACTCATCATTTTACATGCAACTGAATTTAGCAAAACACCCACATTAGGCACTGAATAAACAGTGGTGAACTGGGGGAGCTGCTTCAAACCCCAAATGCCATTTTCCTAGGATGAGATGCAAGAGACTAAGCATACCTGTCATACGGAAGTTTTCCAAAATGACCAAAAATAGTGTCTAGTGCAAGAAAAGCTGCACTCCACCACCCCACCCGCAGATTCTTATTTGTCCACTTACTTCCCACCTTCCTTCTAATGTGAATGACACCATTCCCCTCCCTTTTCAAAAGCCACAGGTATAAAAACAGTTGAAGATAATGAGACCTACCCTCTCTCATAGTGGAATTCCAAATGAAGCCTAATATTCTACCAATGAACTAAAAGAAATACCTTGTTAAATAACAGGTGAGAGGGGTATTTATTCATGTGTTATAGTATATTAACATTCTTAACTAAGACCCTTCGAGCCTACAGAAGCTTTAACGAATGTGCTAATTATTCAAGACCTAAGACGAAATGATGAAACACTTCCCCAGAAGAAAGGCCTCAATAAAACTACGGTATCATACTAAAAGAGGAAAAAATAGCTTGGGAAAGGCTAAAAATTAGGGAGGTGGGAGGAAAGAATAGAAATAGATTCAACACAAATTTCATTTCAAAGTTTGTATTTCGGCTAGGATCACTCTTACATTTTTTTTTTTAATAAAAAAGACCAGATATGTCATACCATTCTCTTATCTCTCAAAACCAAGACAAAAAGATGAGGGAATAATTTAAAAAGCCAATGTCCTAAATCTGAACTAGTAAATAAATGAGTCTAAACAATAAGAGAGAAGTGGGGAGGGATGGGTGGGTGGGCTGGGCTGGGAGTAAAGGATAGAAAACTGTACTTGAACAACAATTAAAATAAAATTAAAAAGAAGTGAGAGAGAAACCATAAAACTATTTATTTAGGGAGTATATTTTAGGGACAGCCACACATATGCACAGCTGAGTGAAAATGGTACTTAATCAAGTAAGAGAAGGATAGAAATGGATGCTCACACCCTTCCTAGTATTCTTTTAAACATTTAAAATAATTTAAGGTTATCAAGATTTCTAGCTTTAAAGGTACTATCACTACTGTTATCTCCTAATTCCTCCTTAACATTATACTTACAGTTGGAGCAGGAGCCATAATGCTCATTGGTACAGGGATCATTGGGGTTCCTAAGGAAAGAGCATAATGAGTTGTATGTAAGCACACAATTATATATGACTGTATTCTCTATCAACTATGTGCCATACGTACAAGTATTCTCAGCCATAGTTAATTTAGGTGGAAAAATGTAGGACTAATGAGATACTGATGAATGCCTTCTTTTCAAAAGTAATGTGGTATCAGGTCAATCTGTATAAACTTATATACATAAAAACTATTCTAAAAGCAAAAAGGCCAACACGACATGCTTTTGTCTTAAAGAGGATAAAACTAGATATTGATTCATGTTCATCGGGTTCAGTACATCCTCAAAATCAGCAACTCTCACAAACACAAATTCACTTATGGGTTAACAAATATTAATGAAAAATCCTTCAAAAGTTTCTTAACTATCAAGTGAGAAACTAATCTGGAAACCTAGGAAGAATGTTATTCCTGATTCTTTAATAAAAACAGAAAACATGCAAAAAAGACCAGTAATCTCAGTCACCATCAAATAGAAAAATCTCATAAGCTGCTGCTCTGAGGGTTTAAAAGCTGTCAATGGGCTATCCACTATTGACAACTGGATTTTTGTTTTCAACTACATTGCTTACTCACCAATAGCCACTGTACTGCAAGTCCTTGTGCAGGTAACTAATAAAGAAATCTTACTTTTGAGAACTAAGAAAAAGGTTGCAATGAGGGTAGAGTGTGTCTACTTTTCCAATACAAGTTTTAAAATGCTTCTAAGTATAGCACAAGAAGTTCTGAAATCACTCCTCAATTCAAATTTAGCATCAATTTAAGATAATTATCCACCTAAGACTGGTAATAAACTCTTAAACATCTAACACTACCCATTTACTTTTCAATATAACTTACTCAAAGGAACTTCATGGTTTTCTAAAAGATAAAAATCAAGATTGTGCCCTTGCTGGTGTGGCTCATTGGACTGAATGCCAGCCTGCAAATCGAAAAGTCGTGGATTCAATTCCCAGTCATGGCGCATGCCTGGGGTGCAGGCCAATGCACCATGCATTTTTCTCCTCCTTTTTCTCCCTCCCTTGCCCTCTCTCTAAAAGTGAGTAAGTAAAATCTTTTCTAAAAATCAAGATAGCTATCAATTACAACTATGTAAGATTGTACCAAAAAAAACAAAAAACCCAAAAAAAACAAAAACCCATAAGCTTCAGAAGTAAACAGGTTCAGTTCTTAGTTTTATTATTTCAGATATGTAACCCTGGGCAAGCTCCTTAACCTCAGCTTTAGTTTCCTCAATTGTAGTGAGGTAATGATTTCCTTAGAGTGTCTGAGAGATTATCTGAGATCATTTGTGGGGCACTTAAATACAGTAGATGCTCAAAATTACTATTAATCAATGCATATCTAAATTTTTCATTTTTAACTTTGAAAAACACCGAACACTCCCTTGTTCACTACTGTAATCTATGTGGTGCCCTTGACCATTCAGAAAAGACAAATTGAAAAAATTTTTTCTTTTTCAACAGTTACTAAAAGTTTATTGTACGTTTCTTATCTCAACATGCGGTGTAGAAATTACATTAAAAATTATACTGCTACCATTATAAAAATCCACACACGAGAGTGAAAAAAGGCAGAGTGCACCAAGTGTGAAGAGAGTGATACTAGTCAAGGGTCTAAGGAAAGAGAAGTGGGAAGGAGTCAACACACTGCGATATGCAGAGCGTATCTCTGGAGAGCTACACTCCCAAAGTTCGTAAGAAAGCAAGTCTGTCTTTGGGGAAGGAAACTCAGGAACTGTGGGGGGGAAACTTCCTTTTCCTATATACATACATTACTTTTTAAGGAAAATGATGGTTGTTTTTCAACTTTATTTTCTAATTTAATGTATGTGATCACCACATATATTATCTCACGAGTTCAATTAATTCCACTTACAAGCTAAGTCAAGGAAATTAAACATTGCATAGGTATTGTGGTCTCCAAATATTACACTAGTTTAGCATACCATTTCATTTTTTTACCTTTTAAAGTATTGACGCAGCACATAGAATGCAAGCAGTGAATGAGATGCAACTAAAATCTAATTTATCAACCAACTATGCTTCCCTAGAAAGAAATACTGTATGCTGTTGCAAGCAGAATCAGCATTAACAGCATTACCACTCTAAGAACTAATGCCCACGCTACTATGGCACTGACCAAACCAGGCAAGAACACTGGAAATCTGGCTTTGCAATGCTGATTCACCTTAACAAATCAGGGAGTAGCCTTAAGAATAATGTCCCAGCTCTGGCTGGCGTAGCTCAGTGGATTGAGCGTGGGCTGGGAACCAAAGTGTCCCAGGTTCGATTCCCAGCCAGGGTACATTCCTGGGTTGCAGGCCATAACCCCCAGCAACCGCACATTGATGTTTCTCTCTCATTCTCTCTTTCTCACTCTCTCTCTCTCCCCCCTTCTCTCCCTAAAAATAAATAAAAATCTTTAAAAAAAAATTCACCTTCCTTCCAAAATGTCTTTCTAAAAAAAAAAAAAAAAGAAGAAGAATGTCCCAATGATCTTACACTTCTGGTTACATTTGATATAGTGTTTATCAGTAAATGTTGCATTTAACATTTATTCTTTAAAAGTTCAGTCCTGGCTGGTGTGGTTAAGTGGTTGAGTGCTGGCCTGTGAACCAAAGGGTCGCTGGTTTAATTCCCAGTCAGGGCACATGCCTGGGTTGCAGGCCAGGTTCCCAGTAGGGGGTACGTGGAAGGCAACCACACATTGATGTTTCTCTCCCTTCCTTTCTTTCTCCCTCCCTTCCCCTCTCTAAAAAGTAAATAATATCTTTAAAAATAAAAAAAATAATAAAAGTTCAAAGGAATTTAAAATAGTCTATAAAGCCATTCTACTAGTAACAAAATTGAAGCACTCATGTTTTTACAGTCTTTCCAGATTCTGAGCAAATGACTGAGCTTCATTCCCAATCCCTTAATTTCTTCACAAAGAAACGGGAAGTAAACTATTCTTCCCTCAACTCTGTAACATAAGGGCTTTTTTTAAAGTATCATGGTTACTATTAAAGGTTATTTAAAAAAAAAAAAAGGATCTGCCCTGGCTGGTGTGGCTCTGTAGGTTGAGCGTCAGCCTGCAAGTTGAAAGGTCCCTGGTTCAATTCCCAGTCAGGGCATATGGCTCAGTTGTGGGCCAGGTCCCCAGCTGGGAATGACCAAAAGTCAACCTATCGATGTTTCTCTCCCACATGGATAGAGAAACATCGATGTTTCTCTCTACCTCCCTCTCTCCCTCCCTTGTCCTCTCTCTAAAAAAATAAATAAAATCTTTTAAAAAAATCGATCTGCTCTGTCTGGTGTGGCTCAGTGAATTGAGCACCAGCCTGAGAACTGAAAGGTTGCCAGTCTGATTACCAGTCAGGGCATATGGTCCCTGGGTGGGGGCAATCAAGAAGCAACTGGGAGATGTTTCTCTCACATACTGATGTTTCTCTCTCTCTCTCTCTTCCCATCTCTCTAAAAATAAGTAAATAAAATCTTTAAAAACAATGGATCTTGCCTTAGCCATGCAACTCAGTTGTTTAGTTTTATCCCAACACACCAAGATTGCAAGTTTGATCCCTGGTCAGGGTATATATAAGAATCAAATGATAAATGCACAAGTGAAAAACAAATTAATATTTCTCTAAAACCAACAAATTTTTAAAAATAGATATTATATTGCCCTGGCTGGTGTAGCTCAGTGGATTGAGCACGGGCTGTGAACCAAAGGCTCGCTGGTTTGATTTCCAGTCAGGGCACGTGCCTGGGTTATGGGCCAGGTCCCCAGTATGGGCCATGTGAGAGGCAACCACACACTGATGTTTCTCTCCCTCTCTTTCTCCTTCCCTTCCCCTCTCTCTAAAAGTAAATAAATAAAATATTTAAAAAATAGATATAATACCATAAATTTGGAAAATCAGGATATATGACCGCCCCCCCCAAAAAAAATAGATGGTCAAATTAAAGTGGTTCAGGCTTCTGTACTTAATAATATTTGATGGTCAACAATTACCTTTATCCAGTTTTAACATTATCTTCTCAATCCCCCTTTCAGAAGAAATTCCTTCATAGTCCATTACAGAGCAGCTAAATTACTGACTAAAATTCAGTGATTGTTACATGGGACATTAAACTGATAGTATATAAACTTTCATATTACACTTGTGGCAGCAGATGGTTAACAAAAACACATTCAGGATTATGAGAAAAACTTAAAACAGCTTACTATAATGCATAAATGTCTTAAAAACTTATAAGTCCTTGATATAAAAGCTTTCCTCAAACAGAAGTATTTACGGATGAGCCCTGGCTGGTGTGGCTCAGTGGATTTTGTCCCAGCCTGTGAACCAAAGTCACTGGTTCAATTCCCAGTCAGGGCACATGCCTGGCTTGTACACCAGCTCCCCATTATGGGGTGGCACAAGAGGTGATCACACACTGATGTTTCTCTCCCGCTCTCCCTCCCTTCCCCTCTCTAAAAAAATAAATCTTTAAAAAAAGAAAAAAATATTTCTAGACGATTTAGAAGACTGATGATTTCAGCCTGAATTACAGACTCCATGTCAGAATATTTCTAATATGCAAATTAAGAACGTTCATCATCCTTTGGAAGGGAAACTGATTTTGTACGTTTTCAACCCAATATAAAAATTTCTATACTATGACCATAAACCAAAAGCAAACTTCCTCTCAAGCCAAGCAATGTTAATTATGTACTTCAAGACAATGGTTCTCAAATGTGGGTTCTCTTAAATGGATACCTAGAATCACCTGCGAACTTGTTAAAACTGAAGATTGCTGGCCCCCAATTTCTGTGAATCTGCTTCAGTGGGTTGGGATGGGGCCTGAAAAACTATTTTTACCTCACAGAATTTTGGAAACAGGAAACTTTTATATAGTGATTTGGAAAGGTCTTTCTAAAATGGGGGCCCTGGCTGGTGTGGCTCAGTGGATTAAGTGCTGGCCTGCAAAACAAAGGGTCACCAGTTCAATTCCCACTCAGGACACATGCCTGAGTTGCAGGCCAGGTCATCAGTTGGGGGTGTACAAGAGGTAACCACACATTGATGTTTCTCTCCCTCCCTTCACCTCTCTTTAAAAATACATAAGTAAAATCTTTTTAAAAAGGAGGGGGCAGAACAGTTTACACAGGATATTACTGCATATCTGTATTGAAAGAAAAAAAACTAATGAATAAAAGAACGCATACTTATTCTTGCAATGTACATTTGAAATTATGTGGAAGGACAAGGAAGAAACCAAGAACCCTGCTTTGTTTTCCTCTTTCCATAAAAGGATAGTAACAACAGTTATGTGTTAAAAATCTTTAACTGTACACCTTTTAATTTTTGAACCCCATGGCTCAATTACCTATTTTTTAAGTAATTAAAAAAAAATTCCCAAATGAGTTTATACTCAACCAGATATGAAAACCAGTGCCACAGTAAAATGAGATCACATTTCCAAAATGATGTTAACAGATATCTTTACTAATAGTCACATACATACCATCTTCCTAACGTAAATAATGCAAAGACAGAAGACAGAAGTATGTGTTAAAACAACAGTATTCACAAAATTACCTGGAGGTACAGGTGGAGGAAAGCCAGGAAACTGTGGGGGTGGGATCCCTGGTGGGAGCGCTGGGATTCCCATTGGAGGGCGATTCAAATGAGGGGGGAAAGACATTCTTACTGCAGCAGTCTAAAAAAAGAAATCGTAACAAATCATTTTATTTGAAAACTCTACAATTCGGTATGTCTGGTTTGTTGGCCTTCATGTTTAGAGTATCTGCAAAATTCTAAAGTTTTCTTACCCAAAGGAGTTGGCAAAGACCCTCTTTTCTCTGTCTGTCCATTGAGAATTTTTAAAATTTAGATCTTTTCTAAAATAAGTTCCCAAAATGTACACGATCTAAATTCAGGATAGACTCCTACAATCGTATGGGAATACATATAAAGGAAGAAAAAAATTTTGAGGTTCAGTTAATATCCAAAAACTAAATACCAAATATCAATGAATCTTTTTAAACCAAATTCAGATTCCAGGAAGATCTCTAACAGTTACTTTTAAAAACTGTTCTGATGCATCCATTTTTTAAATACCTATTAGCACCTGTCTGAAGACTAATTTACAAAGTCACACAGTATTTGTTGATTCAGTGTGGGCCAGTTCCTCACCTACAAACCTGGGCAATGAATGTGGGGATGGGGGAAATCTCCTGACATCAGGTCACAGAGCAACCAAACATTCAAATGTAAAAATAAAATTTATAACAATGAGAAAAAAAAATCATAGACTCCATGGGGTAGCTCAGTCGGTTGGAGCATCCTCCCAATATGCCAAAGTTGCAGGTTCAATCCCAGGTCAGGGCACATACAAGAAGCAACCAATGAATGCATAATTAAGTAGAACAACAAGTCAATCTTTTTCTCTCCTTCATTCCTCTCTCTAAAAATCAATAATTTTTTTAAATGTTGTAATTTTTCTTTTTTCCCCTTTTTTATAGGCAGGAGAGCAGTATGTGGCATGTGAGGCCACAGCCAGTGTCTGGCCCAGGCCAAGCACCTGCTCGAAAGTAGCCTGAGGCCCCCCCTGGAAAGGGGGATACATAAGTCATATTTTTTCTTAAACATAAAAAGCAACCCTCTTAACCATTCTTGAATGAAATTTAGTAAGTGAATGAATGAAAGAAACTCAAGAATCAGATGTTAGCATTTGATTTTATCTATCTTTTCTTTTTCATTTTGGAATGTAAAGCTCTTTTAAATTAGAGCTGACATATAGTAATCAGATGCTAGCATTTGATTTTTAAAAACACAACACAGTCCTGGCTGGTGTAGCTCAATGGAATGAGCACCAGCCTGCTAACTGAAGGGTCGCCAGTTTGATTCTGGTCAGGGCACATGCCTGGTTTGCAGGCCAGGTCCCCGGTCGGGGGCGTGTGAGAGGCAACTGATCCATGTATCTCTCACACCTTGATGTTTCTCTCCCTCTCTTTCTCCCTCCGTTCTCCTCTCTATAAAAGTGAACAAATAAAATCTTAAAAGAAAGAAAAACACAAGAACACATTGAACTGTTTCATCTGGTTTGTGATATTACCATTCAATAACGTAGCAGGGGTGTCCAACTTTTTGGTGTCCCTGGGCCACACATTAAACACATTGCTCACAAAACAACCTCATCATGTTTTAGTTTACGATTTTTGTGTTGGGCCACATTCAGAGCCATCATGGAGGGCACGTGGCCTGCAGCTGGAGGGCGGGGGGGTGGGCCATGGGTTGGACACCCCTGCTTAAAGGAACTTATTTTTTACTTTTAGTTAAAGGAATACTTAAATATCTAAGACTTTTCCTCCCCTCAAATTTTATGTTCTCCTGAACACATTCAACTATCCACATCTGTCTGAGAAAGTAGAAAAATATTAGGATGTCCTAGGTGGATTCCATGCACCAATTTTAAAAAGCAACCAAAGTAAGTGGGTTGATTTATTATCAGTGATGCCACTAAAGGCAGTGACCTGATCAACAGCATATATTCTGTTGTCCCCCACCTACATGCTGTAATTGAAGGAGTTTAAGAGTTGTTAGAAGCTTTTAAAAAATGTTTGTCTCTACTATTTTCTTTTATCATACATTGTTTTACTCACCCTTCAGAAGAGGGAAGATAAAAAGTGCATGTCTTCCACTTTCTCGCCCCTAATCCCAACAGTTTGGTATATATCGTTGTATTCTTCTAAGTATCTTTCTATACACAAACTAATACACAATCACTTGTGTTTTTCTGCAAACAATATAATCATACTACATTGTTACGTGCATTTCTCCCTCTTTATCATTAACATCTCTTTAGGTAAGTTCATAAAGTTCTAGTCCGTTCTTTGTAAGGCAGTAAACTATTACAATACAGACATACAATAATTAATTAAGCAACATTAATGGTTGGCTCCACATTTTACCTCTTACAAATAATGTTGAACATGACAAACTGGACATGTACCTATGCACCTGTGCAACGGTATAATACAGATCACCCCTGTATGCATCCACACATTATCCCCAAATTATCCTCTGGAACTGCAGTGCAGATTTATAGTCCCACTGCTAGTATATGGGTATGTCCTTCCCTCATATCCTCACCAGTGCTAGAGTAAATCAGTGTTTAAATTATAACAACCTGATAGGTGAAATACTCTCGTTTCAGTTTGCATTTCCCTTATCTTTTTAGCTGTTTATTAGACATTTCTTTGCAAGTCATAGAGAAGCACGTCTTTTGTGCTCATAGAGTATTTTGCCATGTATAATGCACACCCAAGTTTTGTGGGCGTTATACACAGGATTATTATAACCACTGTGTGTAATCATTGTACCCATGTGTAATGCTCATCCTTTTTCCCTCAAAAATGTGGGCCAAAAAAGTGTGCATGATACATGGCAAAATACAGTAGTTTTCCTCAGATTGTTCTTTTGATTTAATTAAGTCGATGTATAAAGTATTCTGTAAAATCTAAACTTCAACTTCAGCAAATACAATACACTTAAAATATTTGGAAGGTTTTACAGGTAAAATAAATTCCTAGCATCATTTCACATACTTAGCTAATACTAGAAATGCTTTAAAATATAAGTAGCTATCAGCATAAATTAAGAAAGGAAAGCACAACTAATTTAAGACTATAAATGTGTTGTATTTCTACATAATCCATCTGTAATACTTCTGTCCAAAAATAAAAACAAATATTCTGTAAGGCAAGAGTCTATCTCCTTTTAAAATAGGGCTACTGTCCTACTTACAGAAGCTCCTGTATTATAATACTCTTATCTCAGCACTTTTCCTAGGAGGGCTGTTGGTATTAATGCCTGTTGAATAAATGAATGAATCAGTAAACAAATGAACTCTGAGGACCTCATTAAACAAATTTATAAAGAAGCCCCCATGTGCCCAGAATGATGTTAACAATGACCCAGTGCCTAGCCTCACAACAGTTATAAAGACTGGGCCATGAATTCATCTTCAGAATCCCTTTTCCCCAAGTGTTAGATATAAACAGTATTTCTTATAAAAACTTAGTTCTTGGTATTTAAACACTATTTCATGGTTTTTAAATGTATAATTCATTCTGTAAAGAGTTAACCAGGTTATGTTTTAGTTTATGCCAATATACCCATTGCAATGAGTTCTAATTCTTCTATAAAATATTTCCCTTTTACCTCAAATCCTTTAAAACTTGCTTGTTCATAGGCTGAACTTCAAAGGTAGAGGTAATCTTAGTAAGATAATGGCTCTTTATGGAAATTCAAAAAACAAACATTTCTGGTGATCTCTGATAAATATTATTCATTTTAAAGATCCTAAAATGAGTCTCAACCACTTACCTCAACATAAAGGTTTGTTTTTTTTAATCCTCACCAAGGACATGTACATTGATTTTAGAGTAAGGGGAAGGGAGGAAGGGAGAGAGAAGAGAAACATCAATGTGAGACAGAAACATTTATCAGTTACCTCTCCTATGCTCCCCAACCAGGGACCAAACACACAACTTTTTTTTTTTTAAATATTTTACTTACTTATTTTTAGAGAGGGGAAGGGAAGGAGAAAGAGAGGGAGAGAAACATCAATGTGTGGTTGCCTCTCATGCAACCCCTACTGGGGATGTGACCTGGCCTGCAACCCAGGCATGTGCCCTGACTGGGAATCGAACCAGCGACCCTTAGGTTTGCAGGCAGGCACTCAATCCACTGAGCCACATCAGCCAGGGCCAACCTTTTGTTTTAAGGGAAGACACTCCAATCTAGCCACATCTCCAGGACTCAACATAAAGTTTTATATATTTTAACATATGTGAAAATGATTAAGAATAAACTTTTATAACCATAAACAAAGTTTATCAGGTTTTACCTATAGTTGATAATTGCAATACTCTAAGTTGACCGTTACTTTCTAGAATGAAGTGGAGAAGAGAGCTAGCTAGGGAGTACTTTACTTTAAATACAGTAGTCAGGCCTTTCCAAGGTAACATTTGAACAAACACTTGAACAAGGCTGAGGTAAGAAGCCCTCTTAATATCTGGGGGGCCATAGCTTTCCAAGCAAAGAAAACAGCAAATACAAACAGCCAGAGGTGGACAAGGAAGGTTCACAAAAGGAAAAGCAAGGCCAACAGCTGGGGCAGAGTACACAGAAATAAATGCTGAATATTACTAGAAGAGGGTATAGGGCTTTGTGGGCCACTATAAAGATTTTGGGAAATATTAAAAGGGTTTTTTTTTTTTAAACTTGACTTATATTTTCACTATTCCTAGCCACTGTGTTAAGACTGGTGAACAAGGGTCAAAACAAAATACTCCTCCAGCCCTGGCTGGGTGGTTCTGTTGGTTGGAGCACAGTCCCACACCCCAAAAGGCTGGGGGTTGGATTTCCAGTCAGGGCACATACCTTGGCTGCAGGTTCAATCCGCAGAAGGGGTGCGTACGGGAGGCAACTGATCGATGTTTCTCTCTCACATTGATGTCTCTCTCTCTCTCCCTTGCTCTCTCTCTAAAATTATAAACATACCCTCAGGTGAGGATTAAAAAAAAAAAAAAAAAAAACCAGCACTGCAATAATCCAGATGAGAGAGGGTGGTCTGGAACAGGTGGCATGGTGAAAGTAGTAAGAAGTTGTTAGATTCTGGATATAACATGAAGGTAGCCAACTGCTAAGCACATGTATGTGGGATTTAAGAAGAAGAGATGGAGAGGTTATTTTTATTAGACTGAAAAGATTTACATAGCATTTTAAAGTTATTTGAATAGTTGTGCTGCACTTTTAGAAGGTTCAAAGCATTTTTACCTAGTAAATATTAAAAACAAAAAACAAGAACCTATGACGAACATGTTCTGTATCTCTAGTGTGGCAATGGTCATACAGGTTTATGCATTTATCAAAATTAACTGAAATTAGAATGGGTGCATTTTACTGTATATAAATTTTATCTAAACAAATTTGGTCTCCCCTCTGCAAAAAAAAAAATTTTTTTCTAAGTAAGATTTATCTCTACCATTCAACATTTGAGTGTATTCTGCTTTTTCACTATACTCTTTTACACTTTTTTTTCTGCACTCCTGAGAATACCATTACTGCTTATACACATTCCTCTGCCCCTGCAGATTTATCCTGATAAAAACAAAATATTTCTACCAGGGAGAGATTTACAGTCTAACCCCATCAGGACCCTGTGCCGAATTTCTGACATGGTAAAAAGCAAATGAACCAATAGACTCTCCTCAGCAAATACTCCTATACAACTTTTTCATTCACTCAATAAATATATAGCTCTGATTATGTGGCAGGTTCTTTTCTAAGTATTACTTTACTAATTCTGAAAGAGCAAATTTTAAGTTACATACTTGTTTAGCCACTAGTCCAATGGCTCCAGGATGCATGTAAAGAATTAGTGCAGCGTGCACCATTTCCTGGCCTGCTTATAGCCGGTGAGACACAGGGGACTGACAAAGCCACCCCAGCCTAAGCGAAGCAAGCCCCTCAAAACATCATTTCTCAAACTGAATTTCCAGACCTGGAGTCTTTCGAAACTATTCCCAGGAAAAAGTGTTTTATCTCCAAAGATGAATGGGAAATGCTTAACTAACATTTTCTTTCACAGGAAAGCTTTTCACATATGAAAGAAAGTGTTTTGAGTCATTTTCTGAGATTTCCACCCTGCTGTCTGTAAACAGGAAAGAGGGATCCTTTGGGGCAATGGTTGCACAATTCTGCATGTTTACTAAAAATCATTGAATTGTAAGTTTACAATGACTGAATTTTATGTTGATTACACTTTAATAAAGCTGCTATAAAAAAAGCAATACCAATTCAGGATATTTCAGGCAAAATAGGATCTGTAGATTAGATAATACTGCATCAATATTAATTTCCTGGTTTTGATCATTGTACTGTTGTTAAATAAAACAATGTCCTTGTTTTTAGGAAATACATGTTTAGGGGTTAAGTAACACCACAAATATAACTTAGTAGCAAAACATTTCAGAAGGAAAATATAGAGAAAAAGGGGAGAGGATAAAGCAAATTGCTGAAATGTTAACACTTGTGTAATTTGGGTGAAAGATATTTGAGAATTCTTTGTACAACTCGTAATTTTTTTTAAGTTTGAAATTATGTAAAAATAAAGTTTAAAAAAGCAGTTTCATTCATTCTGATTAGTGGAAATGGTTTTTATTTTCAAAATTTAAAAAGTAGGAAAAAAGCTACTCAAAATCTTTGAGCAATCAAAATCATGGTGACTGACAGTGGTAGTGTCAAAGACTATCAAGAGATTTAAGAAGTACACAGAATTTTTTGTAAGACCTTAAAAGACTCAATGATTACTTCTGCTTCCAAAGTTTTAATACAGTTAATAAAGTTTTCCCCTATATCATGTATAAGCAAGAAAAATATATAGCTAGTCTAAGGACAAGAAAGTATTTGAAAATTCCAAATTTATATTAGATCTTAAGTAGTTACCCAAAGTTAAAATGAACTTATTTTTTAAATATATTAAAAGCCTTAACACAGAGAAATAAAAAGATAGCACACCACAAAATAAACTTAGTCAAACTACCATTAACACATGATGCCTATATGTAACAGCGGGATAATAATTTTCTTCCTAAGAGCGTTTTAATTCTCTACCAAAAGAAAGAAAGAGAAAGAAAGAAAGAAAGAAAGAAAGAAAGAAAGAAAGAAAGAAAGAAAGAAAGAAAGAAAGAAGTCCACTCTGGTGACCAAAAAAAGGAAATGTGTGACCCCAAGAAGATGAATTATTTAATAAAAATAGCAACTAACATTTGTATTTACTTTCATTTACAAAAGCCTTCAACATATATTATTTTTAATCTCCCAAATTACCTTGTGCAGATACACTTATGCTCCTCTCACAGATGGAAAAGCTAACTCGTCCAAGGGAACACAGTGAGTGGCTGGGGACCCCAAGGTCCCCACAATCCTCAAATTACCAATCCAAGGGCTGTTTTCACTGTGTCACAGTGCCTCTTTCTAGTAATAACATACCAATGAGAAATTTCATGTTAAGGATTAACTTTGACTTTAAAAGTTAGAGTTTTAGTCTATTCACTATCTATTCACAGTACACTGAAAGAATGTTAGAATCAGGGTTAGGCTCTTGTACATCACTGAAAATTGTTAAATAACGCCACCAGTTAATGCAGACTAAACACTATGCTATTTGGATAATGCACTAAGAATTTTACATGTATTTTTCTTATTTAATTCCAATCCCAATAACCTAAGAGGTGAATACTATTACAATCCTTACTTTACAAATGTAGACAACAAAGGATTTAAGAAAAGTTAAAATGAGAATAGTACAGTATCTACTTGAATCATGTGTAATTGATGACCAACTAAATGCCTCTCTAGGCTTGCATATTTTTGGAAACAATCTTTTAAAAATTAAATCTCCCAAAGCAATATAAAAGTTGTTTATATACTATTGCTAACTATGTAATTCACAGTACTTCACACTACAGTGGTCCGGTGCAAAAGTCCAATCTCTTCCCTCCTTTTGGTCCGCTCCATTCTGCCCAGTTATCAAATTGGCTTTTCCATGGCAATATAAATCCGTATTACATAACTTCAAAATAATCTTCATACTCCTAGATCTATTTCGACAAACGTACTTAAAAAGCAGTACTGAAGACCAAAGAAGGATGAGAAAGAAGTAACACATTTTATGTGGAGCTTGGTCATCGCCTAGAATGAATGGAGATACAGTTTACTGCAACCTCCAATGGAGGAAGGGGCAGGCTCACAATACTCATCACAATCTTAGACTAGCAAACCGGGAGGGTGCTTAAAAAGGTGGGCATTAGCTAAATTCGGGGGGCGGAGAGGGGCGGCAGTTCACTCAGGGGCGGGCTCTAAATGATCAAAGAGGAAGGGAAAGAAATCCGTTGGTGGCCACCGCCTCTCTAAAAAGGGTGAGTGCTGGCTGTCTTCTAGGCAGAGCCTAGGCCAAGCGAGTCCTAGGCCCGGAAAGTCCAACTCAGGGCTCCGTAGGCTCGGGTCAGAAAGGGGCTTCCGAGAATGGCTCCCCAAAGGCAGACCGATCGTTTTGTGGCAAACGTGGATCCCAGAAAGAGCCTACCGGATTCACTGCGACCGACCGTGAAATGAAAAGGGAAAGTGGGCGACAATGCAAGAAGGAAAGCACTGGCAGTAAGTAGGTCCGGCCTCCACGGGCTCCTGCCGGGCCCACTGGTTTTCGAGACCTTAGAGAAATGAAGAAACCCAAGCCTCGTGCCCGGCCCCTCCCCTCCCCTCCCCCACCCAGCCCCCCTCTTTACCCTAGTCCCACCCCGGCCCTTGCGGAGCCTCCCCGTCTTTTCCTTCCTCCCGCAGCCGAGGCACTCGGTTTCCACAAGCGTTCATAGGGGTGAACTCACCCGCCGCTGAGGAAACGGTACTGTCTTCAAGGCTTTCTGGGCTCTGGGTTACGAGACGAATCCACCGGCTCGAGGTTTCTGCGCGCCGCTCGCCGGGAACCTGGTTCCAAAGCGACTACTCGCACAGGCCGCAACGCAAACACAGCCGCGCTGCGCGGGGAGCTTCTGGAGGTCTTCCTCTTGCCCGGCGTGCACTGCGGCCGGGGGAGCGGAGAGGAGCACCATAGAGAAGAACGCATATAGAGAGCCTTTATGGTTGGCTCTCAATCCCCACGCCCCGGCGAATAACCATAGAGAAGGAGAGCCTAGTGGGGACTAGAAAGGCTCAAGCCGTAAATTACGACCCACCCTGCCATTTTTGATTGGAGCTGATTGAATCTTGTGACTACGCGACGCCATCTTGAGGTCAAGGTTTTGGCTGGGCACTACGTGGGGGTTAGAGCGTGTCTCACTTTTCTTAGTTTGTTTTGGGGATTAGTTCAGCATTTCAGGTTCGATGGACTGCTAACTGCGCCACCACCCAGCACCTCAGTAGAAACCCCAAAGGGCGCTCTTCCCTAGAAAACTATTCTTGATACCCGGAGAACTGGCCGTGTGGGTTTTTGGTTTTCGTTGTTTTAGGAGCACACAAAAGCTCATGCTCACCAGTAGGGCCAAAAGAGATAGCTAAGTGTTTGAAATACCTAAATCGACCTGTTAAAAGCGCTTAACACAGTTTTCATTCTGTAATATAAACATGCTAAAAAGAACTTTGCTAATTGGATTAATAGACACTAATTGCAGATGATTAGGTTATTCAATACATGTACTTCATGGACACTATCTACTTACAAACTTTTCCCTCCCACTGCTTGCTTTTAAGAAGGCTTATAATTTATTCAATATGAAGTTATTGTCTCCAAAAATGACTGATGCTGGGCTAAATGTGTGGTAAATGGGAGTGAGATTTTATTACTATCTGGAGATCACGATATAAAATTGAAACATACCTAAACAGTTCCTATCTGCATTTCCTATTTAATTCTACTCTATAGCACAAATCACCATCTACTGTACTAAATCTTATTTTATGGTCTGTCTGCCCCTACCCCACTAGAATGTGAACTTAAGGGGTACAGAAATTGGGTAGTTCGTTGTTATATCCTCAGTGCGTAGAACAGGTGCTCAGTAAATATTTGTTGAATAAAAGAAATTATCATACGTGATGAGTACCAACAGAAAATAAAATGCAGTGGGAAACTAACGGAAAAGGCTGCATCATTACTACCATCTATAAAATACACACCTATCTGTGTTTCTGCTTGCTGCGTTTCCTTACCATTGAGGTGTGTTAATAACACCTACCCTACCGTATTTTGCTGCAGATAATGTGCACCCACGTTTTAGACCCAAACTTTCAGGAAAAAATACCTTTCGTTTTTAATTTTTTAATTCAATTTTTATTTATATTTAGAAAGAAAACCGATTATCATATTTGAGGGTGTTATTTTGCATATGGATATTGTTACTGCTTTCTGGAGTTATTCTTTCAAAGCATAAGCATAACAAAATAATTAAAAACATTCATATAGATACAGAATTAGTACTACCCATGTATAATGCACATCCTTATTTTTCCCTCAAAAATTTGGGCAAAAAAGTGTGCATTATACATGGCAAAATATTTCCCAGAACTATTGCAAGAACTAAATTAAGGCGAAAACGCTTTGTTCAGTAAAGTGGTAGTCAAATGCGAATTATTTTTGCAAATGAAAAGAGCAATTTGTACCTTTTTTTTTTCACCACCAGAGGCATACAACAAAATTCTCTCAGGTTATTCTGTATCCCTTTGTGTGGTTAGAGACACTGTACACAAAGTCATATATTACTTAAAACCACAATAATAAAAAAAGATTTAAAATAAAATAAAACATATCCCTGGCTGGTGTGGCTCAGTTGGTTGAGTGTCATTCTGTAAATGGGTAAGTTTGCTGGTTCCATTTCTGGGCAGGGCACATGCCTGCCTTGTGGGTTCAATCCCCAGTCCAGGCACGCGCAGGAGACTGCAGACTGATGTTGCTCTCACATATCTTTCTCCCTCTCTTCCTCTCCCTCTAGAATCAATGAAAAAAAAAAACATTAATAGTAAAGTAAATAAAACCTTAATAAGAGAAAGAAGTTATCTCAAGCAACAGTTTGCTAACTTTCTTGCAGTATACATTTGTTGTTCATGTTGGCCCAACATTTATTCCCATCTTCAGGAATGGCACTCTAAATTTCTTAAAAGAAATCATCCTTCCACTACTTCAGATATCTGTAGTTTGAATAGAAAGCCCCAACCATAGCCAGGTCCCTTAGGACACAGGGATAGACTTTATAACCCAATCAAAGCCTGCTGCTTTAGCCCTTACATTGTATCAGGCACTATTTTAAGCGTCTTGCAAATATCAGCAACTTTAATCCTCACAGTAACCTACTGAAGTAGTAAACTAAGTCTTGGAGAGGTTATATAACTTGGCCCAAGGTTATACAAAGAGTAAGTGATGAAGCCAGCCTGGTTCCTGAGTCCATGCTCTCAACCATTACACTATGCTCCTTCATCTTATCAGGAATAATGCTAAGAAGAAAGGAAAAAAAGTGCAGGAGTGGAGGAGGCTATCTTTTTCACTTAAAAATGGGAGGAGTTAAACTTGGAACCAGTGGGGACAAGAATAAAACCATCACAGAAGAAAACGCAGTTAAGAGATGGTGAGAGATTTTTGACAATATAATCTGAGAACATGGATTTGTTGGCGACCGTGAAGACCACACCAGGCACTAGTGGCAGAGTCAGACTGAACCTCAGTTCAGCAACTTAGGTCCTTAAGTACTGGCTGAAAAATAATTCAGAGTCAAGACTCAAACTATAAAAGAAAATTTATTTATAAGTCACCAGAGGTGAGTGCTGGCTGGTGTAGCTCAGTGGATTGAGCACTGGCCTGTGAACCAAAAGGTCGCCAGTTCAATTGCAGGGGCACATGTCATGTCTTCTGTTGGGAGCCTACCAGAGGCAGCTGATCAGTGATGTTTCTCTCCCTTTCTCCCTCCCTTCCCCTCTTTAAAAATACATAAATAAATAAGTAAATAAATTTTTTAAAAGTCACAGGTGGAAAAAGTGAGCTGTACAAGAAATGGGCTCAGGCCCTGGCTGGTGCGGCTGAATGGATTGAGCACTGGCCTACAGATGGAAAGGTCACTGGTTTGATTCCCTCTCAGGACACATGCCTGGGTTATGGGCCAGGTCCCCAGTTGGGGACAAGCAAGAGGCAACCAATCAATGTTTCTCTCACACATCAATGTTTCTCTCCCTCTCTTTCTTCCTCCTTTCTCCTCTCTCTGAAAATAAATAAAATCTTTTTTAAAAAATGAAATGGGCTCAGGAAACAAGTGACAGAGGCAAAAGAAAGGGCCCTTGGAGCTTAGGAGAACCAGAGGCAAGGAAAACGTGCCTGGGGGAAGGGGGTGAGGAATAGCAGGAGCGTGCTCCAGGGAGAGAGCCCCACTGGGTCCTCCATCTTGAGGGTGTTTATCTGGAGGTCTCAGGGGAGGATCCCAATAGAATATTTATCAGTTTTCCAAGTGTGTCCTTTCAGGATTATGGTCTCTGCTGATTCTCTGCTTATCGGTTGGTGCCAGCACAAAGGGTCATCAGTCAGTGCAGCTGATCCTCGTGTCAGCCATGTCTTCATTTGTCTGGTGTTGCTGCTTTTCTGGGCCTGGAACTGAAACCTGACTGAAGCCCAGATGTATTTTATGGGATTCAGAACCTCATTGTCCTAGGGGCTTAATGCTTAAGGGCTATTCTCTGGCTCCCTTGTTTATTCCCCCTCTAAGGGGGTCTAACCTGCATAACTAGCAACATGCCTAGGGAGAAGAGATCAGGGGAAGGTGCCAGCCACATGACCACCAATATGAAAGGTCAGGGGATCTAAATCGCATGACCAGCACTATGCTAGGGGAGGAAAGATAAATCTGAGAGCTAGATTCCTGGTTTTCCCAGTTGCTAGGCACCTGGGGCTTTCCTCCCTGGTGACCTTCTATACCTGGCCCATTGTCCCTGCTCTGCTGATGTCTGTCTAACTGCCTACCACAGATTCAGTCATTCCTAAAGTCAGATATGCTTCTAGGCATCTCAGTATATAACCCAATAAATTCCTTTTTTCTAAATAAGTTTGAATTGAGTGTGAAAAATGGGCAATTTTCTCATGGATATGGACAACAGGGTGGTGATTGCTGTGGGGATGGGGTATATGGGGACTAAATGGTAATGGAAAAAATATAATAAAGATTATATATTTAAAAAAATAAAAGATAAACCCTGGCTGGTGTAGCTCAGTAGGTTGAGCATGGGCTGTGAACCAAAGGGTCACTGGTTCAGTTACCAGTCAGGGCACATGCCTGGGTTGTGGGCCAGGTCCCCAGTAAGGAGCGCATGTTTCTGTCCCTCTCTTTCTCCTTCCCTTCCCCTCTCCCTAAAAATAAATGAATAAAATATTTTTTTAAATTCTTAAAAAATAAATAAATAAAACATTAAATATTTTTTTAAAATAAAATAATTTTTAGTGGGCAATTTTCCGTATAAAATGATGAGTTATACTATGCTTTAGGCTCTAGAGAAGAGATACTCAAGTAGCTTTAAAAATGGAGAGTTAGTCAAAATATAATGACAGAAACTATACATAGTATTGGAAGTAGCACCTAGTCTAGTCTGTGGATCTGGGGAAGTCAGGGAAGGCTTCTGGGAGGAAGTATTGTTCTGAGCCATGCTTTAACCAGGACAAATGATGAATCCAATATGAAAAATGCTCCCCTCCATTAGTAATCACAGAAAGGCTATACATAGTGAGATGTCACATTAAAGCCATTTCATTAGTAAAAATTAAGTCTGTTAATACAAGGATATAGAATAGGAACACTTAGGTATCGCTGGTGGAAGTACAACTACTTTGGCATAACCTAGAAAAATAAAGCATGCACTTTCCTTGTGATGGAGCAGTTTCACTCCTAATTTTGTAGAGACATTTTTGCATATATACACCAAGACACACATTCAAGAATGTTAAAAAAAAAAATTAGGTCATGGCACCATTGTTCATAAAGGAAAAAAAAATACTACTGAAATATCTGACAAGAGAATAAACATATTTATAAAAAGTCACATAAGCATTATA